AGGATGGTGTAACCTAAGTCTTCATAGCCATCAAGACTAGTGTTCTTAGAAGGGGAGGGATCTGGAAGCTTGGTGCTGAGCACTTGTCCTGAGGGGCGGGGTCCCAGGAGGTCTGACTTAATCCTTCTATACTCTTGGTCTCAGTTGGTCCTAACCACAGGCTTGTGCTGTGCTGCTTTGACACTGCTGCTGTCTGCTCACTGTCCTACCTGCTGCCTACTAGAGCTTCCTATCCTTCTGTGTCTTTGGCCATGCAGATTAACTTCAGGCATCCTATCCATTCTTACCTGTACTCTGCCAGTGTTATTGCCTAGCATAGTTGTGTCGAATAGAGATGGTATGAAATGCTGCTGCTGGGCTGGTGAATCCAAAGGGATATGGCCTCCGTGCTGTCAGGAGCCCTTTGGTTCCAAAGATCTCCTGTCCTGAGGGAGAGACAAACAGGTCCTATTAGGGGTTTTCTGTTGTGTTAATTTTTTTTCCCTTGTAGTATCCTGTTTTGAAAACTGAGGAAGAACCATGTTAGGACCTGTGCCAACATCCCAGTGAAGTTCATCTAGCTCCAGTTATGTGAATTCTGGTCTTGGGAGAGGGTTTGAAGTTTGACTGAGACAGTTCTCCAGGGAGGTTACTCTTACTTTTACCAGTGGGCATCATGGGCGATTTAGGGGAAGCATGGAATGGTGCTGTGATTCACACCTGTGTCAAGCAGGCATATTGAGTTGAGCGTCACACTGGAGGTGAAGGAGGGCATGGGTTGGCTGGGCAAGGGCCCAGGTCTGCTGAAGTACTGATAACAAGATTAACTGAATTGACTGGGAGATTAGACCATGGTCTGAGAAGCAAAGTAAATGGGCAGAGGCCAAGTTTTAGAGATGTTTGACCTCCTAGGGATAAGTTCACTAAATCACACTGAAGCTATAATACTTTCCAGGTGGGAAAAAGTACACTACAGTTGAAGAGTTGAACCCTACTAGGTTGGTTGTTGATCAGGAACCTGTGAGCCCTTGGCTGGGGAAGCTTCACCCTCTAGTTTCCTTGGAGTAGGAATGATCTCCCACAATTTGCAATAATAAAATTAGCATCTGGGTCTTTGTAGTTATCAGTTGCTCTTTCAACTCTAGGAACCATCTTTGGACCAGAAACCTGGTCTGGGCCTAGGATGACACTGACCCTCTGTGCTAGAGTTGGCTGCACTCTTCATACCTGCAGACTATGCACAGTGCCTGGGGCAGGAGGTGGAGAGGCGGTGGGTTTGCCCTGCTGACCCTCCTCAGCAGGAACAGTAGTAATAAATGCACTTTTCACACTAAAGTTTTCTTTATTAGTACTCCTGTTAAGCCTAGATCTTCTCCCAGTAGATTACAAACTCAAAGTCTGTGTGATCCCAAAGCCATTCCACTGCAAGGCCCAGCAGTGAAGATGGCCCCAACTGGGTTCCTGTCTGCAGTGTGGGTGGCAGCAGCCCATGTGCCTTTACATATTGTCCAACTTGCAAGCGTTTATTTTGTCTTTATGACTGTCATGAGGACTTAGGTTCTTTAGAGAGAGAGAGAGACAGAGAGAACTGTTGACACAGTGGTTTACACCCATCCCTTGGACAGGGAATTTGCATATGGTTGTGAGCTGAAAGGGTTAATGAGCTGCTAGTATTGTTAATGGCAGAGTTGATCCCTTGCTTGCTTCATACTTGGATTTCAACACTCTAGATTGTTGGGGAAGAGACTGACTGTACTCATGGCTAACTTGGAAGTATTAAAAAAACAACAACAACAACAAACTGTCCTAATTCACACAGGATCCCTGTAGTCAAAACAGTATATGTTCCAGCTACAGAGAGCAGACTGCTCTTAGCTTGCACAGCACCTTAGGGGAGGGAAGAATGTATGGATAGGGAATGGGGTGGAGAGAAAAGAATGGGAATTTTGTCATCCAGGTGGCTTTAGGGTCCTAAGGAGAGTGGCACTGGGGAAGTCTGAATGGATCTTATTTGCGTAGGAGTTCCCTGTAGATAAATTACTGATCCCCCCACTACTATCCCCAGTATGTAATGGCTGAACTAATATGTAATCAACTGCATTGTATCTAAAGCCTTAGAACTAGTCAGGTGCTCCCCCCACCCAATACCATTTCTTACCCTCTAATCCTACCTGATCTTTAACAAAGCATTAATAATTCTAAGGATAATCTCTATTTTGTTGTGCTTTTTTGTAACTGTTTTAAATAAATCAATTTGTACTGTATATTTGTACTTTTGTGAGATCCTTTTTGCTGTTTTACCATTTTAAGTCTCTGTACTTGGCTACACACAGATTGTATTTTTATTGTTAATGCTCTTCTTATGGATACCTGCATTTAACTTGTGGACTATGTAAACACAATATATATCAATATCTATATATCTATATATCTATCTATATAAACTACTAGCTTTTCCTTTTGGTGTTTGCGCTTTGTTCCTATCTCAGCTTGATGGTGGCTATTGAATGTGTGTGGGATGTGGCCGGGGTGGGGGTGGGAGGGAATGCAAATGGAAGCTGCCTTTCAGTGATGATCTAGAGCTGATGGCAGGAGCAGAATGAAGCATGTCCTGCAGTCTGTTGGTCTTTAGAGACCTGAGTGTTTACCTGTAGACACAGATATCAGTAGAATCCATCGCAAGGACTTGTAGGTGTTCTCACTGCTGTTATTTTTTTCCCTCCAGATTCTTTACTCTGGAATATTGCCAGAAATTTCTAGAATAAGTCAGCTCTAAACATAGCTACTGTTTCTGTTTTACAAAGCTTGCTACCAGTAAGTGATGAAACACACATGACAGTGACTCCCTTAAATTTTACTGAATGAGTGCTTGTTACATGCCAGAAAGCGTCCTAAGTGCCATGCATATGTATACATACATATAGTAATGTGTTATTAATATATATACATTATTATATATTATTAATATATATTAATATACATATGTGTGTGTGTGTATATATATATATATATGTTGCAGTCATGTGTTAGCCAGGTACAATGTGTCAAGCCTGTAAGCCTAGCTACTTGGGAAATAGAGATCTAGAAGACTGCACTTTGCTCAGGCAAAAGGATACATATCCTGCCTTGAGGGAGAACTATGGGGAAGGGGTGATATTGATCACAATGCATTATACTCATAACATGACTTCTGGAATTGAAACCCTTTTTTACAACTACTTCTTAAAAAAAAAAAAAAATCCCATCTCAACCAATAAGCTGGGCATAGTGGTTCATACCTTTCATCCCAACTACAAAAGAGGCATAAATAGGATCATGGTTCTGGGCAGCCTGAGGAGAAAAACAAAACAAAAAACAAAAACAAAGAAACGTGATTATTCAAAACCAACTAAAGCCAAAAGGACTAGGAACTTGGCTGTAGTGATTGCTTAGCAAATGTTAGGCTCTGAGTTCAATCTCAAGTACTGCCCACCTCCCCCCCCAAAAAAAGAAGCATTATACCCATTTTATTGATGGAGAAATCAAAAGTAACTTGCCCAGTAAATGGCAGGGCAGCAGGTTTGTTTTATATTGCTGAGGTCTGAACCCAGGGCTTCATACACAAATACTAAGCTCTATCATCAGCCCAGCAGAGCAGTTTTGAACCCAGGCATCTAACTCCTGAGTTTGTATTAACTCACACTGTTGGAAAATTAAATAGACAATCTGCAAAACAGGAATAATCTTTGGTACACAGTGAATGCCCAACTATTTTGAAGCATCCCAAGTAAAACTTCCACATGGCGCTCTGTGAGAAACGCATTTAGATCAATTGTACAATTCCTTTTAAATGTAATTTTTAGAATAAAATTATCAGGCAGGAATTAACACTAGTTTTGGTGGGAGTTGAGACTAAACAGCCTTGGATGGAGGTCAGAGAGGAGTCCAATTTTCCCTCTTAAGATATTGGAAGAGGTCCACATTCCTGGCATAGTTATTTTTCTGGCTACAATTTAACTAGGGCACTTCCTTCTGGACCTCAAGATCTATAATTATCTAAACTGTACATAACCTTTGGTGCAGGCTAAGGAAAGTTCTATGTTTATTCTGAACTATTACAGAAACTTCTAGAAGTGACCTCAGTGTTTGTCTCCTCCATGGCTTGGCAGCTATACAAACTGCCAGAGTGGTCATTGCCTTTGCTACTGTGGATTTGAACTCTTCTATTGCCTTAATTCTGTTTTCCTCTAGGGATTTTAGAATCCTACCTTGGCTCTGAAGTAAAGTAAAACAATGGACACTTCTATCAAACATTAGCTCCATGTGCTAGGGATCTCTATCTATCTATCTATCTATCTATCTAATTTGTATTCTGGCTTTTAATTTTGGGTTGTGAGGCTTGAACTCTGGCCCTGATGCTGTCCCTCAGCTCTTCAACTCAAGGGTAGCTACCACTTGAGTCACAGCACCACTTCTGATTTTGTGGTTTATTGGAGATTAAGTCACTCAGACTTTCCTGCCTGGGCTGGTTTTGAGCCAGGATCCTCAGATCTCAGCCTCCTGAGTAGCTAGGATTACAGGCATGAGCCACCGGCTCCCAGCAGACCTTAATATTGTAGCCCATTTTATGAATGTATCCCTAGATGTTGATGACTGTTGTAGAATTCTAAGTGACCAGTGAACTGAATTTTACTGGGAAAAGTAGCATGTAATTAGTTTTAAGTACTCTACAATGTTTTGGAAAGTATCAGTTGTGAGGAAAGCCTATATTACCTCTGAATCTGGAAAAGGTAAATTTAAATAGCCCTTTGAACCATAGATATCTTCATTTGAGCGTAGGAATGAATTCTCACATAGTCAGCATCAGTTCTTCAGAGTTATAGTTATTCCTTATCAACTTGTAAACCTCTGCTTGAGTAGCCTAAGATGAGGGGGGCCCTGCTCAGAAATGGGCATTACGCCCACAGTCTGAAATCTCCCATCCAGCTTTCTCCTCTCTCACTTCATTCACTAGAATGAAACCGAGACACAAGCAGCCAAAGGCAAGTAAAGATGAACTTAATTTATTTGCCCCCACAACTTCACAGGCTGTGCTGGGGCCTTACAGTCCCACAACCTGGCCTGCTCCAGTTGGCTGGGAGTCTAGTTCTCTGGAGTGCCTGCTCCCTTGTCCAGAGCTGCCTTGAGCTGGGTTCCTCCTGGCCCCATCATCTTGCTCCCACATGCAAGGGGTACAAGTCTACCTGCAGCCAACCCAGGCCTGCCTCTGGCAGCAAGGATGGCCTCATGGGTGGATGCAGGACCAATCCCTGTGGGCTTGGGTGGATGGGAGGGCAGGCAGGAGGGTGTGGTCTAGTGGAGAGAGCTGCTGTTCTGCTCTTCAAAGGCCATCTTGCCCAGAATCTGGCTGTCCAATTCTACCCCATTCACAGGTAGCTGGAAGAAGTTCATTTCAGCAGCTAAGGCTGCCATGGCTGAAGGGTCCTGGCCAAACTGAGCTCTCAACATCATGTCCATTTTTTCCAGCCTCCTTTTGAGCCGCTTGGCCTCTCGCTCTCGAATGAGCCGGGCCTGCCGCTTCTCTGGGGTTTCATTGGCCCTCTTCAGCCTCATGGCTTCCCGATCTCGTTGCAGCCGGCGAGCCCGCTGCTCATCTGTCTCCTGCATTCGCTGAAGGCGCTTGGCTTCACGGTCCCTCATGCGCCTCACCTCTCGCTCTTCAGGGGTTTCATTGTCGCGCCGACTCTTCTTGGCTGTGCGCTCTCGTTCTAGCCGCTGCAGCCGCACCTCCAAAGGCTCATTCTGTCGACGTAGGGCCCACTTGCGTACACTAGGGGTCTGGGCTTCCAGTAGCTTACGGTAGGCAGCACAGTTGTTGCACACAAGCAGAATTCCAGCAGGGTACACTGCAGGGCTAAAGGCAATGTCCTTCCCCTCAGCACTGGAGGGACCCTCGCTGTGGACTGGGGGTAGGGATTCCATATTAAGTACTTCAGGAAGTTTCTCACTGGGAAGCAAAAATATTAAGATTGTTAATGTTTCTATGTAGCAAGTGTCAGGCCCTGATTTACTCCTTTCTTTTCTTTTTTTTTTTTTTTTGTCGGTCGTGGGGCTTGAACTCTGGGCCTGGGCGTTGTCCCTCAGCTCTTCAGCTCAAGGCGAGCGCTCTACCACTTGAGCTACAGCGCCACTTCCCTTACTCCTTTCTTTATTCTTTTCCTATTAGGCCAAGTTCAGTATTAGGGGTTGGTTTTGATACAAGGGAAGACCTGTCTAGGGCCAGGCTACTGTGTGAATGAAGGGGCCTGGCTGTGGGGACTTCCTTAGAATGGCATAGTCCACTACCTCACCTTCCCCCACCTGGCACTGCCTGCAATGAAAGGCAGCCTCTGCCTTATATGCTAGGCTAATAGGATGAGGACACTGTCTGGAGTTCTAGTTTCCTAGGAAATACTAGAGATGATGTCCTCATATCAGGATCTTTTCAGTACATCGTAATTTTATCATAAATGTTTTTGCAATTTCTTACATCTGTTCCTAGTTGAAAATATTCTGATGAGGAAAGAAAAGGGAATGTTTCCCTTAGGGATATCTAACAGATGCGTCTTGCCATCCTAGTCGCATTACTTGAATTTCCAAGAGGTCATGTGTCAGTTGCCCTTGCATCCCCTGTATCTCTAGGCTTCCCTTTGGCTTGGGAAAGTGGAACCCACACCCAGAAACTTGCTCCCAGTGCAACAGGGTGCCCAGCTAACCTGTTGAAAGTGGCATGGCTGGTGAAACGGGCTCCACACACTGCACAATTAGATCGTTGGTCCTCTGAGTGGATTAGGAGGTGGCGGCCCAGTGACCCTGGGGAGCTGAGGGCCCGTCCACAGACAGGACACATGTAGCTCTTGGCGCTCACCACTGCTGCAGTGTGCTGTAAAACAGAGCTTTAGTCTGTCAATCTTGTCCTACCTCCAGGACATCTGCACCCTCTTTACTACTTCCTGGAAACATCAGTTTTCCTTAGTCTCAGAACAATGGACTTGCAGCTCTTCTCTGTCTCGCTTCTGGAAAAGTCAAGGCCTGTTGTGTTAGTGGACCTTCAGAAGGGCCATTCACACCATTGCTCAGATCTTTTTTTTTTTTTCGACATAGCATCTTGTACATCTCATTGTTGTAATGGGTCCACCTGTAACCCTATTTAAACAGTTTGTTTTTTCCCTTCCCCTCCACAAATTATAGCAGCATCAAATACCGCGAAAGCAGGGCTTATACCCTGGGGGAGGTACATACAAAGCAACAAAGAAATCATCTTATAAATATGTTAGAAACAATCGCAAGAAAGAATAAAACATTTGAATCCTTATCTTGGGGTTCATTTCGCCTAACATCAACTTGTCTGACAGTTTCTGTTGTCTCAGACATATACTAGTTATTGCAAATAAGGGAAACCATGGGACCTATTGCTCAGATTTTTAAGCATGTGTTCTGACCATATTTTGGGACACGTGGCTGGCTTAAGAAACTGAGGGAGCTGGGAATATGGCTTAGCAGTAGGGTGTTTTCCTAGCATGCATGAAGCCCTGGGTTCAATTCCTCAGTACCACATAAACAGAAAAAGCCAGAAGTGGTGCTGTGGCTGCTTAAGTAGAAGAGTGCTAGCCCTGAGCAAAAGAAACTCAGGGACAGTGCCCAGGCCCTGAGTTCAAGCCCCAGGACCGGGGGAAGGAGAAGGCTGGGGTGGGGAGAGAGAAACAGCGGGGCTCAGGAGCTGCTTCAGACCTTGAGAGGACTTCATGATTAGAATGGGTTTTTTTTTTTTTTTTTTGGTCCGTTGTGGAGCTTGAACTCGGGGCCTGGGCGCTGTCCTTGAGCTTTTGTTCAAGGCTAGCACTCTACCACCTGAGCCTCAGCGCCACTTATGGCTTTTTTGTTTATGTGATACTGAGGAATCAAACCCAGGGATTCAAGCATGCCAGGCAAGCACTCTACCACTAGGCCACATTCCCAGCCCCTAGAATGGTTTCTCTTTCTCTCTCCCTCTCTTGGCTAAAACTGTGTCGGTACAAGTGCATTTTCAGACAGCAATGAAGGTCAAATGCGGGAGCTGGCTGGGAATGCTGGTATGCAACAAGTAATATATGTTTTGTCTAACCTCAGATTTTTTTGTTTGTTTGTTTTTTTGGGTCCGGTCATGGGGCCTGCACTCTGGGCCTGGGCGCTGTCCCTCAGCTCTTCAGCTCAAGGCTAGCGCTCTACCACTTGAGCCACAGCGCCACTTCCGGCTTTTTTCTTTTTGCTTATGTGGTGCTGAGGAATCGAACCCAGGGCCTTTGGAATGCAAGGCATGCGCTCTACCACTGAGCCACCTTCCCAGCCCCTAACCTCAATTTTTAAGTAGGGTCTTCCACAGGAATACTGGTCATGAGCCAACTATTTTATTTATTTATTTTAGGCAATACTAGGGTTTAAACTCAGGGACTTCAGCTTACTAGAAGTATTTTATTACATAAGCCAACTTATGAGCTCCTCCTTTCAAGATAAGGGTCTCACTAAGCCTGGGCTAGGCTGGATTGTGATTCTCCTATTTGTGCTTCCCCCATAGTTTTGGATGACAAGCATAGACCACCATGCCTAACCATTGGTTGAAATGGAGTCTTGTGAATGTTTTTTCTTTAAAAGCCCTCATTATTAATAGATACCAGTCCAGTTCGTATTTCACTATAAATGTATGCATTAAATAATTTAGAAAAAAAATGATACATAATTTTCACAGTATGTCTGCCTGGGTACCTAGAACCTATTTACCTTACATATCCACTTATCCGCTACCATGTTCTGGGATTTGGAATGGAGTCCTAATGGAAACAATGTCCCAAGATTCCTTCAGGACCCAGAGACAAAAGCCAGTGCAGGATATGGGTTATAAGCAAGCTGCCAGAGCCTAAGGTCCAAAAATCCCAGGTTCCCGCGCCATACCTGGTACACGTGAGCGATCAGTTGCTCCCGACTCCCACAGTCTAGCTGGCAGAGTGGACACTGGCAGAGTTCAAGCAATGGGTCAGAACTTAAGCTCTCTGTGATCTACAATTCAACAAATAGGCAAGTCATAAAGACTCCACAATTTTTTCCATTCCTCACCTCTTCTAACAGGATGCGTAACTTAATGTTATGTTATTCTCAGATTCCTCTTGTGGGACAAAGGAAAAAGCACTATTTGAAAGAGATTTAAATTTCATCACATCTTCATGTCTTCAGGGCTTCTACCAGGAGGCTATAGGATTGCTCCAGCAAGAGCTGATATTATCCTCATGTAAACTGCAGGGCAAGGATTAGTTTCTCTCCTACCATGCTTCTTGCAAGAATCCTCAGGAATCAAATTAGTGAGGTGGTAACCCTTTGACTTACAATTGTCAAGCATATTCCAGGGTACACCTGAGTACGTAAGTTTTTGAAAAGGGACTGTTATGTCTAGAAAGAAGTGGGAGTGTTAGGAAAGAGTGCTGTACAGGAGGGCAGGGATGTGGGAGTAGAAAAGGAAGGCAAGGAAGGCTGTGTGAAAAGAACTGTGTGTGTGAGCTATGGGTTCTGGTGCTGTGAAGGAAGACGCTTTGTATGATAGCCCAGGAGACTGTCAGTGGCGAGACTGTGACATGTGGGTGAGGAGCATGAGCACAGAGGGATAAAGCACTCCCAGGTTCCGGAGCCATTTGTCACTTGCCTCATGCTCTACTACTTCATTCCCACCACCACCAGGCTGTTCTGCATTTTCTAAGTCTTTTTCCACTTTGATCACCCCACCATCTTCCTCTGATGTGTGGGAAGAGTCTTCATCTTGTGTGGTTTCCTCTTCATCACCCTCACTGTCACCTGGAACACATAAACTGGTTACTTGTTCTGATTTTTGTAGGAAGAGATCCCGAACTGTCTATCCTTCTGTCTGCAGCTGTAATGGGAAGCAGATGTTTCATAGTAAGAGTTTGTATCAAGGCTTAATTGGGTATAATTAAATAGAAACCAGCTATCACTGTTACTTATTATGCCATATATACACTAAAGAGAAAATGAAGCACAGCTGCATAGGAAAATGGACATTGGGCCATCTGTATTTATCATGAAAACAATTCTATGCACAGCTCTCAAGTAGCTCAGTTCAAATCACACCTCCCTCAAAGCATCTCACACCCAGCTCGTTTCCATAACACACCACCTCTTGACCTTACCAACATTTTATTACTTAGTTTTTTTCCTAATATAACCCCTTGACCAACTTTTCCCATGGTAGCATAAACTATTCCACACTGAGCCCCAGTAAGCTTTTCTCTCCCAACAAATCCCAAGTATACTTAGAAGAACACTAGCAAGTTTTTCTTCCAAGCTTTTATAAGGAGGCAGAAGTAAATTAGTTAAAAATGGTATCATTTATACAGATAAGGCTGTTCATTACAGTGAGAAATTGGCAGAGCAACCAACCTCAAACAGTTTTCAGGAGTATCCAACTCACTTTAAAAGAAATATGTGTTTTAGACAAGGTCTCACCATATAGCTTAGGCTACCCTCAAACATCCAATCCTCCTGCCTTAGCTTAACATCTGGAGTACCTACTCTGTTCTCATTCTACTAGTACTAAGAATTCTAAACTAAAACAACTCACTGTTTACACTAATTCTTTGAAGTATCTGATGGATAACTAAATGTATAAATGGAAGAAATGTACCATTCTTTTCTTTAGGATGAAATACCATTTCTTGTTATTTTACATAAGAACTGAGTTTGTTTTGATTTGTGGGGTGGGGCAAGAAGCCCACCTATGAATGGGAATCTGCAAGATCTGGGTAAGCTATTTCCCTGCACCCCCCCACCCCCATATTACTTATGAAATAGAAGGGAAAAAAACCCACAATAACAAATTCTTTCTGGAAACAACACTCTGAAGATCTCAAGAGGAAACCAAACCTAGGGAAACTGTCAGACTTCAGCTGTATTCCAACTCTACCCAGATCCTGGACTTCTGGGCCTGATGTCAGCAGAGAAAAATACATGGCAGAGCCTGACCAGATTCTCTGACTCTGCAGTGAGATTTGTATTTTCTAACAGTGATGCTTCTCTTTTTTTTTTTCCTACTATCATTTGCATAATTTCTAAATCCACCAATGGTTGGACAGTATGGGCTTCTTTTCTTTCCAGGAAAAACTGGTTATATCCCTTTCTTGACAAATTCTAACCAAGTCATATTCTATTTATTTATTTATTTTTTTGTCAGTCGTGGGGCTTCAACTCTGGGCTTGGGCGCTGTCCCTGCAAACTTCAGCTCAAGGCAAGTGCCCACTTGAGCCACAGCGCCACTTCTGCAAGTCATATTCTAGTAGTTACATGTTAGTATTAGATACCATTCACTTGGTGGACTGGATTTGGGTCATGGAAAGATTTGTAGCATACTGCCTTAGTCCCAGCCCAAAGCTTCCTTTCTCTTGAATCATCTTAATAATGAAGCATACCATATTTTCTCAGAATGAGAAAATTTCACAGAATGAATCATACCGTATTTTCTCACCAGCCTCCTATTTCTCATATATAATACTTGTAAGTTTAATGTAAAGCAACTTATCAACTGGTTTTTTTTTGTAATTTATCACTCTGCCAGGAATATTTGTATTTTTAAGGTACACTGTCTAGAGTGATGATGCATTTTTTCCAGAATGGAAACCTATTAAACAGTTATAAATGTTGCTTTTGTTACCTGTTACTCAGGAAACTGATGGGTCCCATTAAGTTTTCAAGAAATTTTGGGGCTCATTTTTTAGCACCTAGGCGATTAGTTGCTAAATTAGTTCTTGTAGTTGTTGCTTAATTATTACTGTGGGGAAAACTGTAAAGTTCAGACCTCTGAACCATGCCTCCAGCCTTGTTTTTACAAGTTATTTATAGGATAGGGTCCTGCTTTCTACCTGGCAGTGTTCCTGGACTTTCCTAGTTCCTCCTACTTTCCTATAGTTGCTGAGATGACAAACATGTGCCCCCATGTCCAGCATCCCTCATTAGAGATAGTGTGTTAGAATTTTTCTGCTCAGGCTATTTTAGAATGGTGATCCATGTGCTTGGAATAGGCACATGCCACTGTGCGCCGCTATGGCTTCCCAAGTAGCTACTATTACTAGCTTGAGCCACTAGTGTTTAGCGTTCTACCTTTTTTTTTTTTTTTTTTGGCCAGTCCTGGGACTGGAATTCAGGGCCTGGGCACTGTCCCTGAGCTTCTTTAGTTCAAGGCTAGCACTTTACCACTTGAGCCACAGCACACTTCTGGCTTTTTCTGTTTATGTGGTACTGAGGTATCAAATCCAGGGGTTCATGCATGCTAGGCAAACACTCTACTACCAAGCCACATTCCCAGCCCCTTTCTACCTTGAGTGTTATAGAATTTTCTTTCCCTCTTTGGTTTCTCCCAGTCTTTCAACTAGAAATATACTCTAAATTGATAATAAGAACCAATATCAAACGTGTAAGGTTAAGGAAGTGTGGAAATCTTTCTAGGACGTAAGACATCTCAAATTGTTCAGACAGATCAAGGAACAGGCAATCTATAAGGCTCACCTAGTAAGAGCCAATCTTTTCTATCTTCCAACTAGAGAGCTCTACTGAGGGTTTGAGGTGAGAAGATTTGGACTTTAGCATCTTACAAAATGCTGCATAAACTTATCACTAAATAAACTTTGATGCCACTAAAACTATGCCATGTGTAAAAATTTATCGATGCCACATTTATATTTTATTAATTACAAATAGATCCTAGCAGACAAGGATAAAAAAAAAAAAAAAAAAAAAAAAGAACCTGACCTAAGGATTACTTAGGCACTAATTCTTCCTGGGTTTTGGGATGTCCTCAATCACAACTATCACAGACCTATCTATATAAGGTATTATGTCAAGTACTGTAACTGATGAGTTGTAAAAACACAATGTCAAACCTATTCACTCTCTGAATGAGCACATATGCCCACACACCTTAGGAAACAATTACAGACATGGAGGTCTACGTATCTCTTTTTTAAAAATCTTCCTCCCAACACCCATATTCAATCCCCAGAGCACACACACTATGATAATTCTTCTCCCATTGCCCTGAGTCATTACCAGAAGGTGCAGAACTCACTGCTACTGGAGTCCTGATCTCTTAGTTGTTGGATAGCTTGTCGCTGACTGCCAAGGTCTCCAGGAAAATCAGTTTTCATCATCGCCTGGCGGGCTTGCTCTTCTAGCCCAGCAAATACTTGATCCCCTGGTGGTCACAAGGAAAAATAAGTCAGGCCACCAACTGGGCAGCAGATCCCCAGACTAGCTGGTTGGAAGGTCAGACCATTCAAAGGTAGAAGACAGGCAGGTACCCTGTAGTGGGGTCATTCACCGCCCAATCAGTTTGCTGCCTCCAACAGCTTCTGACTGCAGCTGCTCTTTCTTGGCAGTAAGCCCAAGGCTCTAGAAAGCATTATTTGCTTCTCTTAAGTATTCCTTTTCTTGACTTTTCTCCAAAGGTAATCAGTCACTACTTTACAAATTTAATTGCAGAATCTCAATTCCATTTACAACCTTCCATCAATTGGGGTAACAGAAGCAAGAAGAGGCATAATGATGGTATGAAGTCAAGGCAACCAAACTGGTAAAATTTCTGTGCCTAAAATTACTAGCACTATGGTCCCAACTAAGTGTCTATCTAGAACTACAGACAAGTGCTTCAAATAAATCTTCTAAATAAATCTTTAATCCCTTCTTTCATCCATATGCCTTTGAAGATATGCTCAGGATGTTCTTCCTTAATTTTCTAAAGCCTATCAGAAGTAGCCATGATAAAATCAACTGGTTGAATAATGGACAGATGAGAACAAAAATACATGAACTCATTTCTGCTGAGGAACAAACTTCCTGAAATGAACCAACTAATGTACAACAACAACAAAAAAATGTGTTTCGGGGGCTGGGAAGGTGGCTCAGTGGTAGAGCGCTTGCCTTGCATGCTTGAGGCCCTAGGTTCGATTCCTCAGCACCATATAAGCAAAAAGAAAAAAGCCAAAGTGGCGCTGTGACTCAAGTGGTAGAGCGCTTGCCTTGAGCTGAAGAGCTGAGGGACAGCGCCCAGGCCAAGAGTTCAGGCCCCACGACCGGACCCCCCCCCCCAAAAAAAAATTCAGATTAAAAAAAAAAAAAGGGCTGGGAAGGTGGCTCAGTGGTAGAGCACTTGCCTTGCATGCTTGAGGCCCTGGGTTCGATTCCTCAGCACCACATAAGCCAAAAAGAAAAAAGCCGGAAGTGGCGCTGTGACTCAAGTGGTAGAGCACTAGCCTTGAGCTGAATTGCTGAGGGACAGCGCCCAGGCCCAGAGTTCAGGCCCCATGACTGGACCCAAAAAACAAAACAAAACAAAACAAAAAAAATGTGTTTCATCTCCTTGGATCAAGGTGGCTTTTGTTTTTATATGCATCTCAGCACCTGAGATCCATGTAGTTACTGAAGCATTAGCATTCAAGTATTCTTTTATTTTCAGGAAACCCTTCACAGGGAACATAGGAAGAAAGTGTTGGTTTTCTCCAGGTTTCCATTGTCAGCCTGAGGGGAAACTACAGCTTCCATTTCCTAGCCAGCAAGTGAGAATAACAGCCCCAGTTGTCAAACCTTTCTTAATGAAGGGTGAAAGGAAAGTAAATAGCCACAGGTTCAGAGACAGAATACAATGATGTGGGAAGAAAGAACTGGTCGGTTTATCTGTAGTACTTAACTAGTCTAGGGGAGTGAAAAAACAATGTGATGTAGAGTAGGTTTCATGTGATTTGCTTATTCATTCAGTAAATATTCTTTGATCATCTACTAAATAGATCTATTCTAGACATCAATTACTACTATTGGACACTTGCTAATTCTAGCCTCTATGTAAACTGCTTATAGTTCACACACCATGATTCTCTGCAAAATTCTATGAGGCAGGTATTAATAATTCTGAGGATAAACTGTATTGTACCGAGGAGAAAATTAAGGTCAGGTTCATATAGTTCTAATGTCTTTTTTCTCTTGGTGTTATGGATTGAACCCTGGAACTCACACATGCTAAGCATGTGCTCTACCACTGAGCTACAGTCCCACCTAATGACTATATTTTTTAAACTGCTTTCTAGCAGACATGTAATTTCTAGGATAAAAGGTTCATTGAAGTGCTTTTCTGGAAACAAACATTTGTCTCTATGTAGGAAAAAATGGCTCTGATCTAGTGTTGGTATTAACTCCATGCCAACTGAAACTGATATGTGAAACTCAAATACTAAAACAGAGTTCTCAGGGCTAATATATATGACAAAAGGAAAAATGGTGGTCTGATACTACATTATGAGTTACTGTGTCTGGATTAAAGTATCTGGCATTGGCAATTATGACTCATCCTGTGAGTGCAAATGAAAGTGGATTGTTTTAAAAGTGTACTCCTAGATAGCTACAAAGCCCTTACATACGAAACAGGTTGCTTTAAGTCCATGCTCATAATTCTTTTCTTTCTTTTTTGGTCGGTTGTGGGGCTTGAACTCTGGGCCTGGGCGCTGTCCCTGCGCTCTTCAGCTCAAGGCGAGCACTCTAACACTTGGGCCACAGCGCCACTTCCAGTTTTCTAGTGGTTTATTGGAGATAAGAGTCTCATGGACTTTCCTGCCTGGGCTGGCTTTGAACCTTGATCCTCAGATCTCAGCGTCCTGAATAGCTAGGATTACAGGCATGAGCCACCAGCGCCCGGCTCGTGCTCATAATTTCTAAAGTGAGAAATTGAATAAAAATTTTGCTAGAGAAAGCAAAGAGTGAATTTTGTGTTGAGTGCCTTTTTCCTTACTACAGTAATAAAACATTCAATTTCTCCATGTTGGTTTCATGAAGAAACTACAAGAGCATGATCAAACTGGAACAAACTGAATTCTAGGTAGGTTCACATTTTTGGAGTTAGGAGCCATGGATAGACAGAGCAGTAAGGAATAAGTTATATTCCAGCATATAATTATCAAAGGAAGTTCATTTTTATCAGGAACACTTCAGGTCTCTAGGGAAACCAACTAGGTTTATAACATGCTGAGAATGAACAATACATGTATCCCTTTCATAATGGGAAATCACCACTAGATTAGTAGAAGGACACCTAAAAGGATATCTACCTTTCAAGATAAGCCAGTAATTCAGTTTAGTCTGACAACATAGGCTTAAAATTTAGTTTTGTCTATTAATGTCTAAAAATTTAGGCTCTCAGAGAAGAGTGTATTCAACCCCATTTAAAGCTCTTGCTGGCAATCTCACCTAGGATAATTGAGATAAATTAATTCTCTCATTCCTTTTCAACAGAAAAATGTCTTTTATTCTATTCCCAATAAGGAAAAAAGCTAAGGTAAATGTTATTCTTTTAAAATGTTTTCATGGGGGCTGAGAAGGTGGCTCAGTGGTAGAGCGCTTGCATTGCATGCATGAGGCCCCGGGTTCGATTCCTCCTTACCACATAAGCAAAAAGAAAAAAGCCAGAAGTGGCACTGTGGCTCAAGTGGTAGAGCGCTAGCCTTGAGCTGAAGGACAGCGCCCAGGCCCTGAGTTCAGGCCCCACGACTGGACCCCCCCCCCAAAAAATGAAATAAAATGTTTTTATGACCTAGCCACCTATGGCTCACATCTGTAATCCTAGCTACTCAGGTGGCTGAGATTTTAGGATTGTGGTTTGAAGTTGGCCTGGACAGCAAAGTCCGTGAGATTCTTAGCTCCAATAAATTACTCAGAAAAAGCTGCAAGTGGTGCTGTGGCTTAAGTGGTAGAGTGCTAGCCTTGAGGGAGAGGCTCAGGGACAGTGCCCAGGCCCTGAGTTCAAGTTCTACAATGGACATGAAAAAAAAAGTGTATATATATATATATATATATATGTATATGTATATATACGTATATATATAAATACATATATATACACACACCTTATTTTTTATGCACTTTGACTTATAATAATATTTAAAAGAAGCAATTTTTAGCAGACCTCATAAAGAAAGATAAGTGGATGATCTTCATCCAATTTCCAATTCTGTTATAATTATCCTTTCATAACAAAGGTACTGAGACTTAAAGTATGTCATGTTAACATGAATGACCCATAGCAATACTAGTGATTAAGAAGTATTATAGAATTGCTTGTGTTTATAATGTAGCATTAATTTTTTTCTACCTTTAGACTGTTGGTATAGTTTTTTGTTGTTGTTGTTGTTTTTGTGTTCATCGTGGGGCCTGAACTCTGGGCCCAGGTGCTGTACCTCAGCTCTTCAGCTTAAGGCTCTACCACTTGAGCCACAGTGCCACTTCTGACTTTTTCTACTTATGTGGTGCTGAGGAATTGAACCCATGCCATTATGCATGCTAGGCAAGCACTCTACCACTGAGCCACCTTACCAGCCCCAAGATTGTTGGTATGGTATTTTTTAAAAAGTCCTCTGATCCCTAGATTTAAATGTACCCATATTAGCCAAGTATGAGCCTATTTTATTTGCCTATTTTATAATAATTTTTATTGTGATTAAATGATTACATAAATTTCACAGTATTGTAGGATAGTGATACTTAAAGTTACAAACACTTTTTTTTTTTTTTTTTGCCTGTCCTTGGAGCTTGAACTCAGGGCCTGGGCTCTGTCCCTGAGCTTCTTTTGCTAAAGGCTAGCACTCTACCACTTGAGCCTGGGTGCCATTTCCAGCTTTTTTGTTTATGTGGTACTGAGGAATCGAACCCAGGGCTTCATGCATGCTAGGCAAGCATTCTACCACTAAGCCACGGACCTACAAACACATTTTTAACCTTCACAATATTTGCCTATTTTAGTTGTATTCTACAATAAAAAGCAAGGAACTATCTTTCCTTTTTTTACTTATAAAATTAAAATACTATGTGTCTCTGATTTGTGTAAGGATGTCCAGACCACATAAGAGCAAGGTCATCAAAGCCATCTTGGAGAACAAATAGGAATTTTGAAATGAAAGTCAACAAGTAAAGTTTTTCATCATTCTCTTTCTTGGGTCCTTGACAGAGTTAAATAAATATAATTTCAGGGTAGCAGATATTAAGTAAAACAGGTAAAATGTATTCTCTAAGAGACCAGATGTCAAATTCAGGAAACAAACAAAAAAAAGATGTCATGTTCTGCGAGTGAGGAATTTAGGATTACAATTCTAGCTTGAAGTTTGTAACCCAGGTGCTGAGAGAATGAATGAAGACAAATTAGTTGTGCTTTTTAGAAAACAAAGGACTTTAAGGGCTTATTTCTCCTTCACTGTAAAAAGGTTCAGGTTGAAGTTAAATGTTTCTTATCTCTCATATATACTATAATATGAAATCAAAAGTCTTTTAATGAAATTTTCTTTTCTTTTTTTTTTTTGGTCGGTTGTGGGGCTTGAACTCTGGGCTTGGGTGCTGTCCCTGTGTTCTTCAGCTCAAGGCAAGCTCTCTACCTCTTGAGCCACAGCACCACTTCCAGTTTTGGAGTGGTTTATTGGAGATAAAGAGTCTCACGGACTTTCCTGCCCGGGCTGGCTTTGAACCGGGATCCTCAGATCTCAGCCTCCTGAGTAGCTAGGATTACAGGCGTGAGCCACCAGCGCCCGGCTGAAATTTCATTTTCTTAGTGGCTTGCTTGGTTCCAGCAAAACTGGGAATGTGAGTGTGTGAATGTATTCTCAACCTGTCCAGGACAGTTAACAGAAATTTGTACTCAGTAAGATTGGAAAAGAAGTAAGGGAGAAGGTCTAAAACAGAGATTTCAGCCTAGTAGTAGTTTCTCCTTAACTTACAATTCTGGGCTTTTATTCCAAAAGCTCTGCACTAAGTCCGAGTTTAGTAATGTGGTAAGTAGGCAGAATACAAATTTGCATGCTTCTGGGGAAAGGATTTAGCAATTTAGATATAAAAACAGTCATGAAAATATGGTGCTGGTGGCTCACACCTATAATCCTAGCTACTCAGGAGGCTGAGATCTAAGGATTGTGGTTCAACGCCAGCCCAGGCAGGAAAGGCCATGAGACTTTTATTTCCAATTAACTACCAGAAAAGCAGAAGTGGAATTGTGGCTCAAAGTGGCAGCCAAAGAGCTTAGTAACAGTACCCAGGCCCTGAGTTCAAGTCTCATGACAAAAAACAAAAACAAAAAAAGCAATCATAAGAACAACCAAGTAAGTGCCAAATGGCATGACCATTAGCTTCTACAGTAGATCTAAGGGATGCTGACAGGCACAGGGGATTTTTTTTTTTTTTTTGTCATGGGGTTTGAACTCTGGGCCTGGGTGCTGTCCCTCAGTTCTTCAGCTCCAGGCTAGTGCTCTACCACTTGAGCCACAGCAACACTTCCAGTTTTCTGGTGGTTAACTGGAGATAAGAGTCTTATACACTTTCCTGCCTGGGCTGGCTTTGAACCACAACCTCAGATCTCAGCCTCCTGAGTAGTTAGGATTACAGGCGTGAGCCACCAATGCCTGGCAGGGGAATTCTTCTTTAGGAGACACAAAAATTTTTATTTAGGAAAAATACTCCCTTCAATGGTTATTAATTAGGTAATGAATCTTACTTAGTAATTTACTTGTACTTCTCTGTGTAGACTAATTAGAAACTCACAAGAGAACTATCTCATTCTGAATGGAAGGTAAGAAATTAATACTTCATTCTACTTTAAAAATTGAGATTTTTGCCAGGCTCTCATGGCTCACACCTATAAAACTAGCTACTCAGGAGGCTGAGATCTGAGGATCATGATTCAAAGCCAGCCTGGGCAGAAAAGCCTGTGAGACTTTTTTTTTTTGTCTATTCTTGGATTTGTACTCTTTATCTGGATTCTTCTTTTTTTTTTTTTTTTTCTGTCGGTCGTGGGGCTTGAACTCGGCCTGGGCACTGTCTCTTAGCTCAAGGCTAGCGCTCTACCACTTGAGCCACAGTGCCTCTTCAGGCTTTTTCTGCTTATGTGGTGCTCAGGAATCAAACCCAGGGCCTCATGCATGTGAGGCAAACACTCTACCACTGAGCCACCTTCCTAGCCCCTGTGAGACTCTTATCTCTAGTTAATAACACATATACAAAAAAGCTGGAGTGGTGCTCTGGCTCAAGTGGTAGAGTGCTAGCTTTGAACAAAAAGGAGCCCAGGGACAGTACTGAGTTTAAGCACAGGCCCAGAAAAAAAAAATTGAGATTTCCCCCCCACACACCCCCACCCCATTGGGTATTGGTCTATGCCTGTGATCTTAAGCTACTCAGGAACCCGAGATCAAGAGGATAGTGGTTCAAGGTCAGTCTGGGTAAAATGTTCATGAGAGCTCATCTCAAAAAGCTGGACTTGGTGTACACACCTGTCATCCCAGCTACACGGGAGGTATCAATTTCAAGATCGTGGTCCAAGCTGGATAGGGCATAAAGCGAGACCCTATTTGAAAAATAACAAAAACAAAAAGGGCTGGAGGCATGGCTCAAGTGATACATCACCCTGCTGGCAAGTGCAAGGCCCTTAGTTCAAACCCAGTACCACTAAAAATAGTAAATAAACAAAATAAAATAGAGCTATCCCTCATTATGAATGAGTTATTCCTACAATGGACTGCTGTTGTGCTGCTGCTAAAACAAGTTAATGGTATGGACACATAGAAAACAAATCAAGCTATAATACTAATAATGAAATATATTAAACATAGTTTAAACATTAAGCAGCAAAATTTCCCATATTAAATAATTTGAATTTATCATTTGAGAATAGAGGCCAATACCACTAGTATTGAGGAGGATCTAGGACAAAGGAGGGCCTCACATAAAATAACACAGATGACAAAGAAGAGACGCCAAACTATTTAATACTACTACTGTTTTCAATACAAATCAAGTCAGTGAACTCTATCCTGACCTAAAAATACCTGCAAAACTTCTGAAAAAAATACCAATGATCAGGTCTCATCTCAAATTAAATGAGGGTCAAATTAAATGAGATTTTTCAAAATTCAGCATGAGATTTCTAGCTTCATGCCACTCAGTCAACTTTCGTTCCAGAAGGCAGATGTCATGAAGCAAAGCCATCATGCTATTCAAGGGCTGATTGGCTTTGACATCTGAGCACAGCTTCTGCATTTTCCTGCTTCTGACTATGAGTCTATTTAGTTTACTTCAAATAGATAAGCAACATTAAATTAAATACATATCACTGGTTCCATTTCTTTGCCTGGGGATAGGAAACTCAAGAGGTCAGAAAACTAAAATTACTAACTTCTACTTGCTATTATTGTCATAAGCAATAAGAAATAATCTTTTGAAAGGGCAGGGTGAGCTACTATCCCAAAATAAAAACAAACTAGATTTCAAAACCCAGCAGAGCTCAGTATCTTTTGTTCACTAACTTAAAGCTTTGCTTTAGAAGGCCTCCTGGCTCCCTGCCCAAATGCATCACTGACCAAGCCCCCTGGGGATGTTGCTCTTTAGTTGCAGCTCTTTTGTTGCTCATATCCAACTCTAAGGGTCCTCTTAATGGTCACCACTGAAGAGTCTGAATTCCCACCCACTGCATTAATAGCGCATTTACTAGTTTGACTCTAGATAACTGCATTTCTGTAACTATGTGTCTGTCATATTTTCCCTTCTGTCATGGTCCATTTGTCCATCTATTTTCCAACTCCGATAACCAGCCGCAACTTTTATCTTGGCCATGACTATAGTGGGAAGAGATGCAACTAATGGCACGTGCTACATAGGCACCGCTACATAGGTCATGCAAAGCCTCTGCTGGCTTCCAGCCTTTCCTGTAATTGTGCCATCACCTTCTAGCTACTTTCTTCAAACTTTATCAGTCTCTTTGAACAGATGGCTTTTATAAGTGAACTCGTGGAATTGCCTGATTTGTAAACTCATCATCTCTACCCTTTCTTCCCTCTCTAACATTTCATCTTTTGTCGATAATCATCCTCAACATGACAACATCCTCCTGAATCCCTGTGCTAGATGACCTATGCTAGAGATCATCTTTGACAAGCCTCACCTTCAAACACATTGCATCTTACTGTTCTAATGACAACTTCTAAATCCTTGCAAATCACTTTCCTTTATATTATGCAGCCTTATAGATCCTACTATTCAAGACTATATTTTTTGGAAGCATCCAACTGTTCTATCTTATGCTTTTTTTTTTTTTTTGGTCAGTCATGGGGCTTGAACTCTGGGCCTGGGCACTGACCCTCAGCTCTTCAGTTCAAGATGAGCACTCTACCACTTGAGCCACTTCTGGATTTTTGGTGTTTAATTGAAGAATCTCAGGAACTTTTCTGCTCAGGCTGGCTTTGAACCTTGATCCTCAAATCTCAGCCTCCTGAGTAGCTAGGATTACAGGCATAAGCCACCAGCGCCTGGCTCTTATACAACTTTTCCAGGACTTAAACAGAAGAATTATTATATAGAGGCTTATTACCATTACTTATTAAATATTTAAGATATCAAATACATTCTAATTTTTTTTTTTTTTTTTTTGTCAGTTGTGGGACTTGAATTCTGGGCTTGGGCGCTATCCCTGCACTCTTCAGCTCAAGGCGAGCGCTCTACCGCTTGAGCCACAGCACCACTTCCAGTTTTCTAGTGGTTTATTGGAGATAAGAGTCTCATGGAGTTCCTGCCTGGGCTGGCTTTGAACCGTGATCCCAGATCTCAGCCTCCTGAGTAGTTAGGATTACAGGTATGAGCCACCGGTGCCTGGCTACATTCTAATTCTTTTGTTCAAACTTTTTTCTTTAGCCTGAAAGATAAACACTATATAGTATCTGGCATATGATATATTTTAAATTAATTTTAGTTCTCTTAACTCCTGGGTTAATCTATTTTCTCAAATATCTTTAGTTTTGGTCTGGTTTGGCTTTTGTTTGGTTTTAGTTATAACTCTGAATTCTCTTCAAATGTACTTTAGTCAAGCAATAATAGACAACTAAATCACCTCTAATGAACATCTGAGTGAGAATGTTTATCTACCCATATCACTGGAAATAGCTAATTACCACAAACTTACATAGATACCAATGTTAATTTAGCATTTAATAAGGCACTGTTTTTTTAGGGTTTGAACTCAGGGCCTCACACTTGCTAAGCAGCAGCTCATAAAAACAATGTGATCTAGATCTATACTTATTTATGTGTCTCATAGTTTCTGCCATCTAAATGTGTGAACAGTGCTAAAAGTTTATGTGCATATATACATATAATACACACACATTTATATATAATATATATATATAGTCACACAGTTTCTGCCATCTAGATGTTTACAATCTAATTACCAAAATAAAAGATACACATACAACTATTGAGAAACAATGCAAAGCAACAATGCAGACTTCCTATTTTTAGTTCATGCCTTAGATGATCTGTCCCATACTACTGATTTGTAGTGCCAAAACACTGCATTCTAGATGGTAATCCACTTGCTTTTCCTGTTTGAGAATCCTCCATGATTTAAGTATGTGCAACCTCATGCCCTATGACTTTTACACAAATAAAATTTCTCCCATACACAAAGTTTTTTTTATCAGAAAAATGCATTTTTAACAGAAAACACGTATCTTCTTTACTTGAGTTTCCCTTTTCTTTGTCTCTTTTCCAAATTCAATTTCTAACATAGGGTCTCTTTAAGTTTATGGTCTAGGGCCTCTTTCATCAAACATTCCCTTGCTACCTCAGTCCATGGAACTCTCTTAACTTCCCTCCTCTTAACTTCTGTGGTATACGTCTACAGCATCCGTATTTGGTACTTAGCATATACTCTTTTTTTTTTTTTTTTGGCAATGCTGTCCCTCAGCTCTTCAGCTCAAGGCTAGCACTGTTGAGCCATAGCGCCACTTCCGGCTTTTTCTGCTTATGTGGTGCTGAGGAATCAAACGCAGGGCCTCAAGCATGCAAGGCAAGCACCCTACCACTGAGCCACCTTCCCAGCCCCCTTGTCTTGTATTTTTATATATTTCTTGTGTGTGTATCTGAAGCTACATTATGGCTTTACTTATCTTATAGCTCTGACATCTAGCATAAAGATTTGCAGAGTAGATATTCTATAATTGTTTGTAAATGTATTAAGTCAGGTTAGAAAACATCCATTCTAGTGAGGAGACACACTTTGAATTTGTTATCTAAAACCTTTAACCCTTTCTTCTTTACAAATCTGTGAGAGCTTCTCAGCATAAATTCAGGTTACTCTTTCATTCCAAGCCTCAACACTCCCAGTTCCAGAAGACAAAGCCCAATACTCACAGTGAACTTTATTTGGATTTGTCTGTTTCCGACGGGACATGTTTCCCTGATCTGAGAGCTCTGGCTTTTCCCAGTTTCACGGCTGGATATAATGCTACCTCCTTGCAAGATGCTAACCTACAATACAAAAGGATATTGCAAGCACATGTCATTTTTCTCAGAAACTATAAAAAATTAAGAGCATATATAAAACTCGCCATTTGTAAATAATTAAAAGAAAGGAGAGAAGGAAGGAAAGATTAAAGTTAGTTTCCAGCACAATGTTGAAGCTCCAAGGAGATTAAGGAGCTTCTTTAGAGGAGTTCAGAGAATTCTAATTCTGTCTTTGTAGTTCAGAATATTGTTAAATGATTATGTTCAAGGTGAAAAGACAGACCAAGAAGCAAAATTAAGGTGATCTAGGTTAGAAGTACTGTGGGCTGAAAGCATTAATCTTTAATGACTGTAGAAGGAAGCAGAAGGAAGCCAGAGTTCAGCAGCTCATGTGTCACATTCCCACTGAAGGCAAGCCCTGAAGGCTGCACCAATGGGAGCCTCTAGACAGTTTCTTTTAAGAAGTTATCTCACCTAGGGGAAATAAAAAAATCACATTCTTATGAGGTAGGAAATGTCTCCAAACCCTTAGGCAGTGAGGTGTTGGGACTCATGCCTATAATCTCTAACGACTCAGGAGGCTGAGATTTCCAGGATTGGGGTTCAAAGCCAGCCTGGGGAGGAAAGTGAGATTCATCTCCCAAAAGACAGAAGTGGAGCTCTGGCTCGTGTGCTCAACTTCGTTCACAAAAGCTCAGGGACAGTGCCCATGCCCTGATTCAAGTCTGAGGACCAGCAAAACACAAACATAAAAACAAACAAAAAATCCTTAGACATCTTTAAATGAACACAGCACAGGAAATAAAACGTCTATTTAGTCATGCAGACACGGTGCCAGCTACCACGGATGACAGAGCATTAGAGTAAATCAAACTTCCAAAGGTGAAGATGCACTCTCACCAGAAGAGCCAGACAACAGCTACATGTTGTTAAGTAGTCATTTAGTCCCTTAATGTGGAACATTAACCTGGTCCTACTGTGTTCTGGAGAGGTGGTTGAAGTTGGCCTCTTCTCAATCTTGCCTCTGTATTGTAAAATGACCAGTGGGAGAAACAAACACAAAAGCTCCCTATACAAAAAGAGCAACAGAGAAATGCATCTACCTCCTAATATAGGAGATGACAGATACTTAAGCCTGAAGGTTCTTTTAAATACAAGAAAGATTAGTCCAGCCAGAAACAATGTTAGAAAATCTGAATTGTATTAGTAGCAGAAATTGTGGCATTTTCTTTGACAGACAGAAGACTAGAGGTGTGGTTCATCAGCAGAGCACTTTCCTAGGATGAGTAAAGCAAGGGGCTCAATTCCCAGTGCCACAGGAGAAAATAAAATCCAGAGTGAATACACAGATATAAATGAAAAAATTCTATTTTCTACCAGACAGGAACATGGATTTAGTCACTCAAGTTTTCTTTCAGTTCCTACTGTCTCAAATTGTACTATTATATACAAATATAAAATTCAATTTATTGCTTTAAGAGGAATTGTAAGAGGCTGCTACTAGCTGTACTTTGCATGCCAGTTAATGAAGACTCATCTCCTGTTAATGCCAACCAACTCCTCTAAGTAGCTAGTAAGGTCCTCAAACCAGTAATCAGATCCTGCCTCCCTTACCAAAAGAAGAAAGAAACCGCAAATGGCAAAGACAGGCCTCCACAGGAAGTGGCAAAGGAAGCAGCTTTCAGGCAGTCTTCTATCATATCTGCATATCAAACACAGTTCTTTTTCAGACCTTTAATTAAAAAAAAGAAAAAAAAAACTCCAAATATACACAGTAAAAAAAAAAAAACAATTTAAATGATTTAAAGTGCAGTCCACTAATAGAAAATACAAACGATATGCTTTCTCTAAGTTTGTTGTTTGTGTACACCATTCTCCCCTCCCCGCATTTGAGACAAGATTATGCCTTGTTGTCCAGGCTGGTCTCAAACTCCAAGACTCAAGCAATCCTCCAACCTCTGCCTCCTAAGTAGCAGGAATTATAGGTGTGCACCACCATAACCATCTTAGTCTATCTAATCAACTAGTTAGTTATTAATGGCAGCAGTGAATGAGTATGTCACTTCAGATCTTTTCCTATATATGTCTATGGAATCACGAAGAGAACAGATGAATAGATGGTTAAATTTTTTTGAAATTCACCTTATATAAAGGAAAAATGGAATCTTGACTATTCTATTTTCTTTTCCTCAAGATTTGAAATGGAAACTGAGATCAAGGTAAGGAAGTTAACTTCTGAAGGAATGCCAAATAACTAGAGCCCAACTCTTCCCCAGACAACAGTTCCATCTTGAAGCTACATGGCAGGCAAAGACAGAGATGAGCATCTGCATATTTAAATCGGCTGTGTCCACTGCCTCTTACAATCCCCCTAGTGGTCCAATAGGGAACTGAAGAAATGGTACCCAGGGGACTTCACACCTGAGGGATCAAGGAAAAAAGAAGCAAACGCCCTCCTCTCCCTCCCACAAAACAAAACAGGACAACGATAAAAACACTTCCATCCTCTCCCAAAACAAGTCTGTGGGTCGTGGACTTTTGGACATACGTGGGGAAATAAATGGCACTGGCTGGACACAACCTTGGAGCTTAGACAACTTAGATCGGCAGTGAAAGCTAGCCAGAACCATAGACTTATGACCTGATAGGTCCCTCGGTCAGTTTTACTTTGAGCCCAAATGTGACACTGAACTACAAATGTCACTGGACAGCGGCTGGTCAGCATCATCCCAAAGGAAATTGGAATAAGAAGAAAGGTAAACGGAGGTTCGGGCCCACAAGGGGTTTTCTCTTAAAGGGAAGGCCGTTTGGGAGGACGCGTCTCCCTTTATCACGGCCTCCGCTCTCCCACAGGTTGTTAGGTTGCAGCGTCCAGCCACCCCAGACAGTAACAAGAAAAGCAGAACAGAACAAAAACGACGCACAGCAAAACAAAAACCAAAGGCGGATGCGAGGCCAGCCCCAAGAAAACAGGGTGCAGTCCCACCTCCAACTCTGGTGCGGTTCCCACGGAGCGCAGTAATCTCGTCCGAACCCGAGCGAGCGATCGCGACCTGCCAAGGAGAGGCCAAGCGTCTGGCACGCAGGCTCGGGCTCCGGCGCCCGGCGCCGCGGCCCGGGCGGGGCGGCGTCTGTCTACGCCGCTAGGTGTTTCCCGGGCACGAGCGCAGGTAGAGCCGGGGCGCGAGCCGGGGCCGCGGTCACAGACTCGGGGGAGAGCGAAAGGGAGCAGGTCTTCCGCGAGGCCGACACGCGGGGGCCGGGGCCCCGCGGCCGGTCTCCCCCGCGCCGCCTGTCAGACGCGGGCCCCGCGCCGGCCCAGGCCGCGCCCCGCGCCCCACACCGCCCCGGGCCGCCCCCGCCTCCTCCCCCGGCGCCCACAGACAAAAGGGCCTCCAGCCTGTGACCCCTGTCGGGCCGCGCAGCGTCTGCATCCCCGGCGCGGCCGCGGAGGAACGACGGGGAAGGGGCCTCTTTACCCCGCGCCACGGCGCCCCGCCGCGCTCCGGTCTCCGGGCCCCGCCTCCGGACAGACGGACCGCCGGACAATGGGCCCCCAGCTGCAGCTTCGGGCCGGCTGGGCGGGGGCTCTCCCGTACCAGACCCAGCGGGCTGAGGGCCGCTCAGGGCCGAGTGCCTGAAGGGGAGCCGGCGGGCGGCGCTGCAGACAGACAAAGCCAACCGCAGACAGACGGACGGAGGGGGATAAAGATGGCGACGCGGCCGCGAGAGCGCGCGGCTCGCGCACCCGCGGTGAGTGGGGCGCGTGCACGGGCCTCACCTCTTCCACTCCCCCCTTCCTCCCCCGGCCCCGGTCCCCTTCCCCGCTCCCCAGGCGCGCGCCTGGCGCGGCGGGCGGGGCTGAGGAGAGGGGCCTGGGGGGCGGGGCCTGAGGGGTTATCCAATCACGGACGTCCCTGAGGGTCCTCGCCGGCATCCTCGCGCCCCCGAGACCGCCGGGCCTCGCACTCTCCTCGGCTTCCTCGGGCGTCCTCGGTCCCCTCCGCGTGTCCGAGTCCTCCGGGGCGTAGGAACTCCAACTCGACTCCCAGCTCCGGCCCCGTTTCCTAGCCCACCACGGGGCTCAGCCGCAACACCGACCGCCCGACCACGGCTCCGCCGCCGCCCCGTCTCCACCCCGCGAACCCCCGCCCTTCGCTCGCGGACCGCTGGGTCCTGCAGCCGCGCGGCCTCGGCGAGGGCCCGCGGCAGCTGTCCGAGCCTCCTCGGGAAAAGGCCTCGCGCTCGTGTTTCTCCGACACGAGGGTCCGTGATAGAGGCCACCGACCCCGGGCAGGCTGCCGCGATCGGGAGCGGGCGCACTCACTGCCTAATGAAATACCCCTGCCCTCGGCCCGGCCCTGTCCGTGCCCCCTGCTCCCCCGCGTCCTCCGCTTCCTTCCCAGCGGAGAAGTGGGGGAAGCGGAGGGAAGGAGACAGACCTCTCCTTAGAAGAGTTCAGCTTTGGTAACCCGCTCCGGCACTGTGACTTTGGACAAGTCACTGCCCTAACTTGTCAAATAGAGACCGTCGTCATTCGGCCTCTGCTTTCATGGAGCTGTGCTAAAATGAATTTCTAACGGCAGTATGGAAACATATTTTATAATTACTGGCTACACAAAGGCGGAACTAGTAAAAATGCTAACCCTTGCTGATAAAAATGGCACATCCTAACATTTGCCTAAAGCATTCTTGCAAATTGCCCTGCCCACAAATTTCCAGTGAGATGATGCATGTCATTGTCTACATCTTGTTTAGTACTAAAAGATGTTGGTCTTCCACATTGCTGTAGTAAATATATCTATGTAGAATGGGATATTTAGATAGGAATTGCTTAACGTTAGCAAACATTAAAAATTTTATTATTATAAAGGTAATGTGCAGAGGGATTACAGTTACATAAGTCAGGTAAAGAGTGCATTTCTTTTTTTTTGGACAATGTCACCCACCAGTGGAACATTTTAATTCATTAAAATATCCAATTTTTACATAGCCAGACAGTGAAAACATTTTCACTGAATCTGTAAGCATTTAGAATATTTTGGGCAAGAATATATGCGGATTTGACTACGTAGTTCAGTGGTAGAGTTCTTGCTTAGCATCTGTGAGAGTATGAAATTAAGTTAGTAGTTAAAAATAAAACAATATAAAGTCTTTTTGTCCCTTCCTCCTTCTTTTTTTTAACAGTGTGTAAGTACTACTTTACTTTTACTGCAGTAGTCAGCAAACTTTTCCTGCAAAGGGCAACCTATGTTTACTGCCCGATATACACTCCTGTCTTCCCAGCCTTTAAGAATGTAAAAGGCATACTTAGCTGGAGAGCTATTCAAAAATATATCTGACAAGCTTGGTCTGCAGGTATGTTACTGAGAGACTCTTATTTTACGGGTTCAAAAGTTTTATCAGCTTTAAGTTACAGCCACTAGTTATCATGATTTATGTAGAAAAGAATAGATGGCTAGTTAACCATAGTAATGTGGTAGGTCCTGTCCTAGCATCAAATAAAATTTCCAGGTGAAACTGTCATTTTGTTTTTGATTGTGTTTATTTATTTATTTTTGTTGGTCATGGGGCCTGAACTCTGGGCTTGGGCTCTGTCCCTCACCTCTTCAGCTCAAGGCTTGAGCCACAGCACCACTGCCAGCTTTTTCCTGCTTATATGGTGCTGAGGAATGGAACCCAGGGCCTGATGCTTGCCAGACAAGTCTACCACTGAGCCACCTTCCCAGCCCTGATTGTTTAATTTCTGAATGAAATCAACCTTTTCAAGCTAGGAACAGAGCTATGGCTTCTCCTTCCCTACCTCCAGATAGTATCTGAGTCACTGGCTGGTTATGCTACATCTCATAGTTGAAATATTATGAGATCTATGTAATTAAACAAGTATATTTTTATAAAACTCACGACATTGGTGATGAATGCAGAATCCAAAGAATTCGTGAGTAGGAACTACTTTTCTAAATAAATTATATCACTACACTGGGGCTTGATGACATATTTAGTGGTGTAAATGGATAGTTCCTCTTTGAAAGGTGATTTGGCAGTATCTTAATTTTTTTAAATGTACCTATCCTTTGACTCAGTTCTTATTTCTGCTTAACACCGCCCCCCCCCCCCACTTTTTTTTTTTTTTTTTTTTTTGCTTTATTTTTCAGATAAGTTCTCCTGTTTTTTGACTGGGGCAGCCTGGACAGTAATCCAACTGCTTACCCTTCCTACATAGCTGATTACTAGCAGCTTTGTACTAGCATGTCCCCTCCCCCCCTTTTTTTTTGAGATGGGGTTTCACTAATGTTTTTCCTGGGCTGGCTTCTAACCACAATTCTCCTTATCTCTGTCTTCAAGTAGCTAGGATTACAGGTGGCTTGATTTTTATTTTTCAGGTTATTTGCATCAAGAAGGCAAAAGAGTGGTATGAACATACTGTTCACAAGACATGCAATAGTCCTAATATTGAAAGGCATGCATATGCAGAGTACAGTACAATAGTAGCTACCATCTGACTAAAACTTATCAAGTTTTTTTGCTGCTATTTTACCCCTACAGTATCATTTCTTTAAGAAAAAAATAAAAAGGGCATTTTCTTTCAAGATAACAATTTTTAGGATATTTGGAATCTAGTCCATAATCTAATTTCCCCAATTATATCAACATCTTCCACAATTGGTTTTTAAATGGTATGTAAACGAGGTCCCCACTCATTGTATTAGTCGGCTGTGTCTTAGATCTTTAAATCAGAGCAGTCTGCCTTGCAGACTTGTTACAGGAATGACTTCTCTCTCTCCCCGCCTCCTCCTATGTGTATGTATTTACTAGGGAAAAGCCCATACATTTTTTTTGGGGGGGGTGGGGAGGGTCAGTCTTGGGGCTTGAACTCTGGGCCTGGGTGCTGTCCCTCAGCTTTCGGCTCAAGGTGAGTGCTCTACCACTTGAGCCACAGTGCCACTTCCAGTTTTCTGGTGGTTAGTTGGAGATAAGAATCTCAAGGACTTTCCTGCCTGAGCTGGCTTTGAATCAGGATCCTCAGATCTTAGCCTCTTGAGTAGCTAGGATTACAGGCGTGAGCCACAACCTCTGGCTAAATATCATATATTTTGAGTTCCTGGAACCCAGTTCTGTATGGAAATGCTGCATATGGTTATGAACATGGTGCTTTTTGCCCTGCGCCAGTGGCTCACACATGTAATTATCCTGAGAGGCTGAGATCTGAGGATTGCAGTTGGAAGGGGAAGGAAAGTCTGTGAGACTCTGACCTTCAAGTAACCACTAAAAAGCCCCGAGTGGAACTGTGGCCTAAGTGGGAGAGTGCCAGCCTTGATCAAAAAAATGTCAGTGACACTCCCTTATGACCCAGTCATACCACTTCTAGGCATCTACCCTGAACAACAGGAACCAATATACAAGGACACGTGCACCTCCATGTTTACTGCAGTACTGTTCACAATAGCTAGGATATGGAAACAACCCAGATGCCCCACCACAGATGAATGGATCCAAAAATTGTGATATCTATACACAATGGAATATTATGCAGCCATTAGAAATGACAAAACAATGGCATTTGCAGGGAAATGGATGGAGCTAGAAGGAATCATGTTGAGCGAGGTAAGCCAAGAGCAAAGAGACAAACAGTACATATTCTCCCTGATAAGTGGATGCTAAATCCAAAATGTTAGCTGTTAAGACAAAATTAACAGGACTTAAGAAACAAAGAACTCCACTCATCTAGTCAAACCACTACTAAATATCCCCATGCTGCTGATCACATGTATGGTGTATATGTGTACACCATTATATGTTATAGACTGTGATAGACAATTTGCTCCAGGAAAGTTAGAATGAACTTGTGACTTTAAATAAGCATCATTATTCCACAATACTGTGAAATTTGGGAAATTATGTAGTCACTTAACCACAATTAAAAAAAAAAAAAGAACCTCGGGGAAGGTAGGGAGGGAAGGGATGGTAGGGGGAAAACAATGGAGGGGGTAACAATGCTCAATAGGAAGTGTACTCATTACCTTGCTCATGTAACTGTAACCCTCTGTATAGTATCTTTACAGTATAGTATCTTTTTTTTTAATTTTATTTTATTTTATTTGAGAACATACTGTACAGTATAGTATCTTTACAATAAAAAATTTAAAAAAATGTCAGGGACAGCTCCTAGCCAGAATTTAAGCCTCAGGACTTGCACAAAAGACGAAACAAAAAAGACAGTACGTCCCAATTCATGTTAACTCCTTACAACAACGAAGCAAACCCAATTTTGGTCTCCACAGAGGCAGCCTCGACACCAGGGGGCAGGATCATCACCTCCTTCTGAACAGTCGAGGGCTCAGGCAGCCCCTAGACCGAGAACATGGGCTTGACATGAAAAAAGGTATTCAAAGGAAAAAGTTGGCTAAATTCAACGGTAAAGGGAAATCGCGGAAAGTCTGACTTCCGAAAAGGTCACCGGGCTTGGCTTACAACGGGGGGGGGGGGGGGGGGGGGGGGTCGAGGAGGGGTCAGCAGCGGCCGCAGTTGGTAACCGAGAGACGGAGGGTAAACAGAGGCAAGCTGCCCGAGAGGGAACGACACCCGCCGCCACGCCGCACGGGGCAGAAACCGGGACGCGGAGAAAAGCCGTCCCGGGCCGGCGCAGAGGCGAGCAAATCTCAGCGAGGAACCCTGGGCGTCGCCAGGCAGCTCTGGGGCCGGTTTTTCTAGGAGCTGCAGCAATCTGGGACTGGGGCTCGGAGCAACGACTTGCAGAACGGGAACCGCCTCCCTCACCAAGCCCAGGGCGAACTCCAGGGCGCGCCCCAGCAGGTGATTCAAATCCCGCGTGACCCCTGCACAAACACCCCGATGTCAAATCCCGTGCCTCCGCCGCGGGAAGTAGTCCCTGGCTGCGCTGGCTCCAGAGGCAGTCTAAAGCCCGAGACGCAACGACCTCGGCGGGTGGGTTCCGACAGCGGCGAGCCTGCAGCCAATCCCTGAAGAGAAGGGCGTATCTAGCTCCGCCCCCGCTTGGATCCCTCCGCCCGTGCTGGCTGTGCTGAGGCCGAGGGAGTCGCCATTTTGGATGCTCAGTGGCCCGTCTGAAGTCGCTTTTCCCGTTTTTACGTCTGGATTCAGCTAGGTGAGTGTGGCATTTTCAGTCTCAGGGGTCTCTGTCTCCTCTTGCTCTGCGCCTTGGACTTTAGCAGTCCTTAGACAGCTGTAGGGCCCGCGGTTCCAGTGGCTCTCGGAGTGTCAACGCGGGGAGGAAGGGAAGACCGGGAAGTGGGGTCAGGCCGGAGGTCGGGCCTGGCGGGCCGCGGGGTGGGGGGCGGCCGGGGCGGGATGCGCGCGGCGGGGCGGCCAGCTGCTCGGACGCCGCTTGGTCTTGGACACCGCCGTTAGCAAACTTTGCCGTCGTCTTCCCGGCCCCCAGGCACCTTCCCGGGGGCGGAAACGTGGCGGCGCGGGCTCCGGGCGCCGCCCCCGCCGCGGCTCCCCGCGGGCCCAGCACGCTGGGGGTGACCGGTGTCCCCGTGGCCGTTAGATACTTCGGGGCCCGGACGCCTCAGGCCGCGCGCGGCCCCCTCCGCACACCCCCCTGCGGCGTGCCGAGCCCGCGACCCGGGGCTTTGTTTCCTCTCTTTGTGGTTGGTGTCTGCGCTGCCTTTTCCGGGTGCGGGAGGTGGGTGCGTCCCGGGAAGGCAGTCGCGCGCCCGGCTCGCCGTGGGAGAGTCGCCCGAGGCCCCGCCGCCGCCCCCTGCCTCCGCACGGCAGGGGCTAAGCAGCCCTTGTGGAGCATTGCACGGTGTGTTTTTTTCCACCTAGAGTACTACTTCTACTACTACTACTTCTTCTTTTATGATTTTTAAAGTAATCGTACAAAGGGGTTTTCATCAAGTCAGCTTCCGAGGTACGTTGCTTCTTGGTATTTTTAACTTTTGAATTTCAGAAAACTTGGAACAGACCTAAGAGCACCAGCATTCCCTCCTTATTTAGTTTGAGAAAGGCGATGAACCCAAATCCAGTCTTGTTTCAACTATACTTTTTATGGTATTTTTCTTTCAACTTTATACACACGAACATCTTCCCTTTCCCACCCAGCCTTTTGACTATCGTACTCAAACCATTAGTTCATGGGGGATTTTTTTTTTTTTTTTTTTTTTATACAACTTCTAGGAATTCTATTTTCTTGGATGGAAAGACTTGCTCTAATAGTTAATTAGAAGCTAAACTGAGGACCAGAGCCACACGCCTGTCATCCTAGCTACACAAGAGGCTGAGATCTAAGGACAGAATCCAAGCCAGCCTGGGCAGGAAAGGCTTTGAGACTTTATTTACAATTAACCATTAGAAAATCGCAAGTGGAGTTGTGGCTCAGAGTGGTAGAACACTAGCCTTGAACAAAAGAGCTCAGGACAGTGTCCAGGCCATGAGTTCAAGCTCACAACCAAAAAAAAGATAAAAAATAATTTGGAATTTGTGAATTGGAGGGGAGAAAGGGGGGGCGGTGTGCGAGTGTGCACATGTCTGTGTTGGCCCTGGGGCTTGAACTCATGGCTTGGGCTAGCCCTGAACCACTTGAGCCACAGCTCCACATCCAATTTTTTGGCAGTTAATGGGAGATCAGACACTCAGATATTCCTTCCACTCCTGGCTTCCATCTTGATCCTTAGATCTCAGTCTCCTAAGTAGAATTACAGGCATGAACCACCATTACAAAGCAGTAATAACATTTTAAAATCACCCAGTTTTTTAGAAGTCGTCAGGCTTGAGCTCTGGGCCTGGACCCTGTCCCTCAGCTCCTCAGTTCAAGGCTAGCACTCTACCACTTCAGCCACAGCACCACTTCCTGTTTTCTGGTGATTTATTGGAGATGAGTTTCATGAACTTTCCTTCCTGGGCTGGCTTTGAACCATGATCCTCTGATCTCAGCCTCCTGAGTAGCTAGGAATACAGGCGTGAGCCACTGGTACCCAGCAGCTTTTTAGATCTTAACACTTTTTAAAATGGCGTTACCATTTTCTCTAAATTATATTACATCTCTGTCTCTTCCTGTATTTCTGACTTCTACAGCATCTGCAGCTTAAGGATCCTTCACTACTGTCTACTTGATAGAATCAAGTTCCGGATAGAATCAAGTTCCGGTGATAGGTAGTATGGATTTTTTTTTTTTTTTTTTTTGGTCCTTTGGTTTGAACTCAGGGCCTTGCACTTACTTGCTAGGCAGGTACTGCTGAGCCATCCTCCAGCAGTGTTCTTACACTGGGTGATTTTGAGAAAGGGTCTTGCTTCCTGCCTGATAGAACACCTTGTCTTCAGTCCTTTGCTTCCCACCATAGCTGGGATGACAGGTGGGCACCACCTGGTCAGTAGAGATTTTATTATAATCTATAGTGAAAATACAGTTAATTTCCCGTTACACTGCACATTAACTGCTTTTCAAGGGATTTAACTATATTTTACGGAAATGCATCCTAGTTCCGTAGTGTGCATATTTCTACTGCCATGTTGCATTTCTCAACTGCAACACTGTAGTCACACTTAAGTCTGCTCACACCATTTAATTTATAAGAAATGCTAGAGGAATGGAGAGAGGAAGGGCAATGAATACAGTGATATTCAATGTACACATCTGAAAATGTAACCCCATAACTTAAGGGTGTGGGTGTAGTTGGGAAAGATGAGGGAGAATGGCAGTGACATTGCTTAAGATGTGTTGTATTCATAACTGATCTGTTGAATTGAAACCCCTTTGTAAAACTACTTAAAGATAGTAATAGGGCTGGAAATGTGGGGTAGTGGTAGATTGCATGCCTAGCATGCATGAAGCCCTGGGTTCAATTCCTCGGTATCACATAAACAAAAAATATTAAAAAAAAAAGTAATTATAATAGAGAAGTGTTAGTGTGACTTTCCTGTCCCAGCTGGCTTTGAGCCATGATCCTCAGATCTCAGCCTTCGGCGTAGCTAGGATTACAAGCCTTGGCCACTAGCACTCAGCTTTTAATCTCGGTCTGTTTATACTGTTAGTATTTAATTATTGGTGTAGTTACTGAATGTTTGAATGTAGAACTACCGATTTATTATTCATTTTGTTCTATTTTCATTACTGTTGCTGCTGTCCTGCCTTTTGGGTTAATCACTTTTTAGTATTCCAGTTTAAAATCTGGTATGTGTGTGTGTTGGTGGTACTGGGTATTCAAGGCCTTGACGGTCTTTTCCGATGTGATTTGAAGTATTACAATCTTTGCTGAAATCAAGGATTTCCCTTCCAGCTTCTCAAAGCAAGAGTTCCTTTTGATGCCTTTTCTGTCTGTGCTCATGCTCAGTTCTGGGTTATGTGGCTTTCCATTCATTCTAGGGAGTAACAGAGGCAAGAAAGGTGATTAACTCACTGAAGGTTTATTGGTTCTTCAAATTCTTGGTGTGCTTCTGTTTGCTTTTATTCACTTTTTCCAGTCTTGAAATAGCTGCTACATGAATTCTGTTCAAGTTTTATATAGCTTATTTCAGTGAGAGAGATTCTGAGCCTAGAATCCTAATCTCCCCCCCCCCCTTTTTTTTTTTGGTCGGTCGTGGGGCTTGAACTCTGGGCCTGGGCGCTGTCCCTCAGCTCTTCAGCTCAAGGCGAGCGCTCTACCACTTGAGCTACAGTGCCACTTCCGGTTTTCTGGTGGTTTATTGGAGATAGGAGTCCCACGGTCTCTCCTGCCCGGGCTGGCTTTGAACCTCAATCCTCAGATCTCAGCCTCCTGAGTAGCTAGGATTACAGGCGTGAGCCACCAGCGCCCGGCTTCCCCCCCCCCCCCCCCCCTTTTTGGCTACTGTTTTACCCATGTTATTTACTGCCATTAAATTATTTTTTTTCTTCTTTTTTCTCCCAGCCATGTGGCTTGAACTCAGGGCTTGGGTGTTATCCCTGAGCTCTTCTGCTCAAGGCTAGAACTCTACCACTTTGAGACAGAGCTCCATGTCCAGTTTTCTGGTGGTTAACTGGAGATAAGAGTCTCATGGACTTTGCTTCCCCAGGCTGGTTTTGAATTGGGATCCCCAGATCTCAGCCTCCAAATAGCTAGGATTACAAATGTGAGCCACCAGTACTCAGCCCATTAAATTCTTATACCTGTGTGTTTTGGTTCTGTGCACAAACTTCTTTGATGGAGTATATGTGCTGAAGTAGGATTCCTGAGTCTTAAGGTATATGTAGTTTACCATAAAGCATATATTTCATTAAATACTGCTAAATTGATGTCTAAAATGAACAAAGACAAATATTTATCTTGGCCAGTATTTGTTTTTCTTTCTAATTCTGAAGGACAATCCTAGGACTGTGGAATATGCTGGGCAAGGGCTGTCATATGCTGTAATTCTGCTTGCACTTCACAGCTCAGATTTGATTAGTTGGATAGTTAAAGGTGTTTTTTTTTTTTTTTTTTTTTTTTGGTGTTGGTCCTGGGGCTTGAACTCAGCACCTAGGCACTGTCCCTGAGCTTCCACTTGAGCCATAGCTCCACTTGTGGGCTTTTTTATTGAAGATAGGAGTCTCAGGGACTTTTCCTGCCTAGCTTTGGCCTTGAACTTTGATCCTCAAATGTCAGCCTCTTGAGTAGGATTACAGGTGTGAGCCACCCATGCTGAGCTACAGGTGGTTTTTTTTTCTTTTCTTTCTTTTTTTGTAGCTGGTGGGGTTTGAACTCTTCCTCTGAAGGCTAGCACTGTACCACTTTGAGCCACTGCGTCATTTCTGGGTTTTTTGTTAATTAGAGATAAGAATTTCATGCACCTGGCACGAGTGGCTTACACATGTAATCCTAGCTACTCAGGAGGCTGGAAGGCTGAGATCTGAAGATCACGGTTCAGAGTCAGCCCAGGCAGAAAAGTCCATGAAATTATTATTATTTTTTGGTTGGTTGTAGGGCTTGAACTCTGGACCTGGGCTCTGTCCCTCAGCTCTTCGGCTCAAGGCGAGCATTCTACCACTTGAGCCAGAGCACCACTTCTGGTTTTCTGGTGGTTAATTGGAAATAAGAGTCAAGGACTTTCCTGCCTGGGCTGGCTTTGAACTGTATCCTTAGGTCTCAGCCTCCTGAGTAGTGAGGAGAACAGGCATGATCCACCAGTGCCTGGCTCCATGAAATTCTTATTTCCAGTTAGCTACCCAAAAACTGGGAACAGAGTTGTGACTCCAGTGTTAAGAGTACTAGCTTTGAGTGAAAAGGCTGAGAGGCAGTCAAGCCCTGTGACTGACCAAAAAAAATGTTTCACGGATTTTACCGTTGTGGCTGGCTTTTGAACCATGAACTTCAGATTTCAGCCTCCTGAGTAGGCATGAACTACCAGCCACTTGCTGAGGGCTAGTTTTTGTTAATACTTCTCTTAGAGATGTTAATTAGATTTGCACATTTGATTTATCCATGTAAGCTAGAGTTATTGTCTACTAAAATTTTGCAAGATCTTTGTAGGACTCATGATGGACTCATAGTCAAGAGTACTTTTTATCTTATTCTGTGTTTTCTTATTTAAAAACTCATTATTGCCAGTTGCTCACTGTAGCTACTCAGGAGGCAGAGATCTGAGAGTCACAGTTCAAAGCTAGATCAGGCAGGAAAGTCCTGAGATTCTTATCTTCAATTAACCAACAGAAAACCGGGAGTGGCACTGTGGCTCAAGTGGTAGAGCGCTAGCCTTGAGCAAAAGAAGCTCAGGGACAGCGCCCAGGCCCACAGTTCAAACCTCACGACTGACCAAAAAAAAAAAACAAAACTAAAGAATCTAAAAAAGTTTCTTACCCAATATATGTCAATACAATTTTTGTAAGTATTCACCAATATAGAAATGCATGAGAAAATACTAATGCTTCTAACTCTCCAGAGTTTATGCTTCAGAACATTCAGTACATTTTTTTTTTTTCCTAGTTCTGGGGCTTGAACTGTGGGCCTGGGTGCTGTCCCTGAGCTTTTGTGCTCAAGGTTTGTGCTCTACTATTTGAACCACAGCTCCATGTTTGACTTCTTTTATTTAACTGGAGATGATGAGAGTCTCATGGACTTTCCTGCCTGGGCTGGCACCTTTCCAGCCATAGATGGGTTTTTTGTTTACCTTAACTGCTGTGAAACACTTGGCAAATAACGCTCAGCACTAGACTTCTGTAGTGTCGTCCCCCCGCCCCCCCCCCGCCCCCCCCCCCGCCAACTTTTCTCCCTCTTTTATACTCTGTGTAGGGGAGTAGATGTTAATATTCTGTGGTACTGAGTACTTGCTTTTATCCCAAAGGCTGAGCTAGTACTATTTGAGGAATTAAGGATAGCTTTGGTGGGGCTGGGAAGGTGGCTCAGTGGTGGAGCGCTTGCCTTGCATGCATGAGGCCCTGGGTTTGATGCCTCAGCACCACATAAGCAGAAAATGCCGGAAGTGACTCTGTGGCTCAAGTGGTAGAGCGCTAGCCTTGAGCTGAAGAGCTGAGGGACAGCGCCCAGGCCCAGAGTTCAGGTCCCATGACTGGCAAAAAGAAAAAAAAAAAAAGAACTTTGGGGCCGGGTGTTGGTGGCTCTCACTTGTAATCCTAGCTACTCAGGAGGCTGAGATTTGAGGATTGAGGTTCAAAGCCAGCCTGGGCAGAAAAGTTCCTGAGATTCTTATTTCTAATTAACCACCAGAAGAATGGAAGTGGTGCTGTGACTCAAGTTGGTAGAGTGCTTGCCTTGAGCTGAAGAGCTCAGGGATAGTCTCCAGGCCCATGCGCTCCAGGACTGTCAAGAAGAAAAAAGAAAAAAAGAATAGCTTTGGATTTAGCCCTAATTTTAATCTTTTTTCATCGTTAAGCCTTGCTGAGACTGCTGAGAAGCAGGAGGAGCTCTTGCTCCCTCGTAGGGTTTTTTATTTGCTTGTTTGTTTTTTTGTTGGTTGTGGGGCTTGAACTCTGGGCCTGGAGACTATCCCTGAGCTCTTCAGCTTGAGACAAGCATTCTACCATTTGAGCCACAGCGCCACTTCCAGTTTTCTGGTGGTTAATTGGGGCTAAGAGTCTCATGAACGTTCCTTCCTGGACTAGTTTTGAACTGTATCCTTAGTTCTCAGCCTCCTGAGTAGCTAGGATTACAGGCATGAGCACCAGCGCCCGACTCCCTTGTGTTTTTGTCATACCCAATACCAAAATACCCATTTCATCCATCACAATCCTTATAGATTTCAAGTCCAGATTTCAAATGCCACTGCTGATTGCCCCAGTGTAAGCTGTAGGAGATCCTTGTCTGAACTATGGTGGTAGCCTTCTCACTGGCTCACCTGCTTTCAGTATTGTCTTCCTCTGATAAGTTTTCTAGAAAACAGCTTTGGCTTATTATGTTAAATAATCTCCTCTTGTGGTGTTAGATCCTGAATTAATTTTGACCCAAAATAGCATGTTGCTCCTTTTTTTAGGAGGAACAGCACAGCATGCTGGGCTCTGGATTTAAAGCTGAGCGTTTACGAGTCAATCTGAGATTAGTCATAAATCGTCTTAAACTATTGGAGAAGAAAAAAAGTGAGTAGTGTGTGATTGCTTTATCTTTTCTTTCCACAAATACTTCCCCAGGTACCAATATCTCAATCTCAGTTAAGATACATTTCTGCTCCCTCCTTTTTTTTTTGTAGTCCTGGGGATTGAACCTAGGGCTAGGGCTTCATGCACATTAGGCAAGTACTTTACTTTTGAGTTATGTCCCCGCCTAGAATTTCTGCCTTTTCTGGCTAGGCTGAGTCTCTTTGTTAAAGAGGAAAGGACCTAGTCTATTCATACATATGCATTTGTGGATATAGACAGTTGTGTATCAAATACTGAGAGAAAAAAATTTACATCTGTGTTCAACACATTATTCCTTAAACAATAACAACCAGTAACACCTATTTAGCATTTAGTATGTAATCTAGAGGTGATTTTGAAGTGTAGAGAAGGATGTTATAGAAGATTTAGAAGAGGTTAACGGGAAATGGAAATAGGTTAACTGGAAATACGGTGCCATTTTAGTGAGGGACAGAACCTCTTCTGAGTTTGGTATCCCTAGGGTGTTCTGAAACTAATCCTTTTTTCTGTCTTCTTAATGTGCTGGCAAGGTCAGCCTATACTGTGTTCTTATGTACACAGTGCAGCAAATGCCAGAGTAGTTGAGGCTGGAGAAGATTAGCTAAGGGATTAATGTGAGCTAGGATATAGAAAGATCCAGGTTCTGTTGACTACTGCTGTGTAACTGGGCTTTGTGCATTAGCGGAACTGGCTCAGAAAGCAAGGAAGGAGATTGCTGATTACCTGGCTGCTGGGAAGGACGAGCGAGCTCGGATCCGCGTGGAGCACATTATCCGGGAGGACTACCTGGTGGAGGCCATGGAGATCCTAGAGCTGTACTGTGACCTGCTGCTGGCCCGGTTTGGCCTCATCCAGTCCATGAAGTAAGATCACCTCTGGGAGTTGAGACTGGAGTAACTGTACATGTATATGTAGGGTGCTTGGCACCATGGGGCATTTCACATTCCCTGGCCTTTTTTCTATCAGCTATTTGAAGATGTCTTTTCAGAAAAGAATCTGAAATTTAAAAGTCTACCTTTCAGTCTGGATTCAGCTATTTACCAACTTTGATAGACTCATTACTTAATTCCCCCCCAAGTAGGATAACAACAAAATGGCTAGAAGTCCAGAGTTAAGAATATTTATGAAATAGTTTTACTTTTTTGGTGGTAGTAGAGTTTGAACTCAGGGCCTCACATTTGATATGTGGGTCTTCTACTACTTGAGCCACACTCTCAGTCCTAACAAGTATATGACAGAAAAGCTAGGGTTTTGGCCAGGTGGTGATGGCTCACTCCTAGCTATTCAGGAGGCTCAGATCTGAAAGTTGCGGTTTGAAGCCAGCTCGGGCAGAAAAGACCCCGTGAGACTCTTATCTCAATTAACCACTCAAAAACCAGAAGTGATGCTGTGGCTTGAGTGAGAGAGTGCTAGCCTTGAGCATGAAGAGGCTTAGGGACAACACCCAGGCCCTGAGTTCAAGCCCCATAATCAACAAAAAGAGTAATGAAAAGCTAGGATTTTGTTGGCCTGTGTGAAAGAATTAATTTAATTAATTAAATACATTTATTATTAATAAACAATAAATTAATTAAAGAATTAAATTTAATTAACTTTATCCTTGATTAGGGAGCTAGATCCTGGTCTATATGAATCTGTGTCTACACTGATCTGGGCTGCTCCTCGGCTTCAGTCCGAAGTGGCTGAGTTGAAAATAGTAAGTACAACCAGTTTCAGTGATGTCTGTAGTTTCTTCATGTTGTTAGGAAGGTTGGTTAGTGTATGTCACTTGTGGTTATTTGACTAAGTATTTTGTACCCTTCTTCAGCTGTTTTTAAAATACACAAATTCTTTACTCATTTCCAGATCTTGTATCATAGGGAAGAACTTTTTTGCCAGTCCTGGGGCTTGAACTCAGGGCCTAGGCACTGTTCCTGAGCTTCTTTTGCTCAAGGCTAGCGGTCTACCACTTGAGCCACAGCGCCACTTCTGCCTTTTTCTGTTTATGTGGTACTGAGGAACCGAACCCAGGGCTTCATGTGTGCTAGGCAGAGCACTACCACAGAGCCACATTCCTAGCCCAAGAAAAACATGTTTTAAGAAGTCAACTTTCTATGTACTTCTAGATGTATTTTTGAGATGGGTCATTATTTAACCTTATACAAGTAGAAATTTTTTCTTTGGCTAGCACTTGAGCCACAGCTCCACATCGAGCTTCTTGGTAGTTTATTGGAGATGAGAATCTCAGGACTTTCCAGCCTGGGCTGGCTTCATACCATGATCCTCAGATCTCAGCCTTGTGAGTTGCTAGGATTACAGGCGTGAATCACTGGCGCCCAGCTAGAGTGTCACTTTTTGCCTGTGCTGGCCTAGACCAAGATCCTGTTTAATGCTTCCTACTGTTGCTGGGATGACAATGTTAAGCTTTTTCTGTCATGATTGGGTCTCGTGAACTTTCTTGCCAGAGCTTGCCTGGAACTACTCTTTCCTGATTTTAGCCTTTGTTTAGCTGACAGGTGTTTACTACCATGTCCATCTGTTAGTTGAGATAGGGGTCTCACAAGCTTTTTGGCATGGGCTAACCTTAAACTGTTGATTCACCAGTTGCCACTTCCTAACGTGATAGGCCACTCCTGAGGTGGTAGGCAACCTTACAGGTGCATGGCCCATATTTCTTGTACTCTTTCCTTGGGCTCTGCACTCAAGGCTCATTGATTGCATTTTAGGCTTGCATATTGGCCATGTTCTTTTCACAGAAGGCCTCTGTACATGTTTTCTTTTTTCTTTTTGGTTTGTCATGGGGCTTGAACTCGGCCTGGGCGCTTTCCCTGTGCTCTTCAGCTCAAGGCGAGCGCTCTACTGCTTGAGCCACAGCGCCATGTCCGGTTTTCTAGTGTTTTATTGGAGAGGAGAGTCTCACGGAGTTTCCTGCTCGGGCTGGCACAGATCTCAGCCTCATGAGTAGCTAGGATTACAGGCATGAGCCACCAGTGCCTGGCCATGTTTTCTTTTTATGGAATGCACTTTAGTGTTCAGTTGATCTCTAATTATCTTTGTGTGTATATACACACACGCGCGCGCGCGCACACACATGCACGCACGCACACCTGTTCTTGGGCTTGAACTTGGGGTCTGTGCTCTGTCCCTAAGTTGTTTTTGGTAAAGGTTAGCACTTTATCACTTGAACTACAGCTCCACTTCTGGGTTTTTTGGTGCTTAATTGGAGTTAAAAGTCTTGCTGACTTTCTTTCATGGACAGGCTTCAAGCTGTCATCCTCAGATCTCAGCCTCCTGAATAGCTAGGACTACAGGAGTAAGTTACTGGTGCCCGACTTAATCATCCTTTTTATCTTGGCAAAGCACTGTTCCCTTCAGGCAGCCACGTCTAGCTTTTCTGATCAGGATTCTTCTGTTACAAGTTGGTAATAGTATAGCGTATGTCCCCATGGGAACACTTGGTGCAGCTGTATTTGCATCTTCATGTTGATTTTGTGCAAAATTCTGGTGGTGCATATCATAATGGTTATAAATAAAATGTGGTATTTGGCTGTCTCTTACTGATTAAAAGAACTCATAGACTTGGAAACCCTGTAATAGAACCAGGTTTACTTTTTTTTTTTTTTTGACAGTCATGGGGCCTGAACTTTAGGCCTGGGCACTGTCCCTCAGCTCTTCAGCTCAAGGCAGCTACCACTTGAGCCACAGAGCCACTTCTGGCTTTTTCTGCTTATGTGTTACTGAGGAATCGAACCCAGGGCTTCATGCATACGAGGCAAGCATTCTACCACTGAGCCACCTTCTCAGCCCCCAGGTTTACTATTGAAAGGAAGAAATGTAAAACAGTTCATGGGAAGGGTTTGGGTTATTTACTGTTCTTTTTTTCACTGTAGGTTGCTGATCAGCTCTGTGCCAAGTATAGCAAAGAATATGGCAAGCTATGTAGGACCAACCAGATCGGAACTGTGAATGACAGGGTAATGTACATATTTGGTGGTTGTGAATCAGCGAGATTATTGCTGTGGTGACTTGTTGGCTTAGTTATTGATAGTTACACATTTCATAGCGAGGATGAGGAAGAGGCCTGTTAGGATGGCAGTTCCTTTCCTATGCCCAACCCTTCCACTTGTGACTCTGAGTAGCTAGGATTATAGGTATGAGCCTCCAGCGCCTGGCTGAAACTTTCTTAATGACCTATAAGATAAGAACTAAGTTAAAAAATGAGAAAAGATTAAGCTTGCTGTATGATGCTTTTTTTTTTTCCTGGTTGTGGAGCTTGAACTCTAGGCCTAGGTGTACTGTCCCTGAACTTCTTTTGCTCAATGCTAGTACTCTACCACTTAAGCCAGAGTGTAGCTTATTGGAGATAAGAGTCTCAGGGAATTTCCTGCTGGGGCTGGCTTTGAACTGCTATTCTCAGATCTCAGCCTCCTTGAGTAATGATTAGGATTATAGGTGTGAGCCATCAGAGCCAGTCTATAGATGCATATTAACCGTGGTCTTTCATTTACAGCTAATGCACAAACTGAGTGTGGAAGCCCCTCCCAAAATCCTGGTGGAGAGATACCTGATTGAAATTGCCAAGAATTACAATGTGCCCTATGAACCTGACTCAGTGGTCATGGTAAGTTTATCCCAGAGCACAGAGGAAATTGAATCTCTTGGTAGAACTTTCTTTAAACAAAAATCACCATATTGTTTTTCCTAATGTGAGTTGAAGACTTTTAGTTAGTACCTTTTGGAGAAGCCATAAATCATGCCTGTATATCTCACAAGATATTTAAGAATTGAGTTAGATGTATGCTGGGCGTTGGTGGCTCAGGCCTATAAGCCTAGTTACTCAGGAGGCTCAGAACTGAGGATCACGATTCAAAGCCAGCCTGGGCAGGAACATGAAACTCTTATCTCCAGTTAACCACCAGAAGACCAGAAGTGAATCTGTGGATCAAGTGGTAGAGTGCTTATCTTGAGCTGAATAGCTCAGGGACAGTGCCTAGGACCAGAGTTCAAGTCCCACAACTGACCCAAAAAAAAAGAAATTGGATTAGGTGAATAACCATAAGCACCTTGAGAATGTATAAACCTTAGTACAGATGTGTAAAATGCTTTCCCGTGAAATTGCAGGTATTGAGACTCCTATGGAGAATACTCTTAAGATGTTTATTTTGTCTGCTGTGTAGAAAGCTGAGAATACAAAGATACATAGATCACTGTCCTGAGAGCCTTACAGTAGAAGGACAGTAAATAAATAGTAATCATTCAGTGGTTAAGAATAGTGGGATCTGGTAGAAGCCCCATCCACAAACAAGCTCTTTAAGGGTTTGATGACTGGTAACAACACACACATAGCTGAGTATTCCCATTAGGGAGGTACTCTGCCAAATAGAGTATTGTTACTCAGCATTTTTGCTGGTTGAAGCCAGTATCCAAAGCTGGCCAAGGTAGGGTTTTTTAGCTTTTCTTTTCCCCCTTCTTTCCATTGCGGAACACCTGTGGAGGTCCATCACAGCTCCAGAACTCCCTGGGAAATGGTCACGTTGCATTGGAGCCCAGCTTTTCCCCATCTCCATCGGACTAGTTTTGCTTGCACTTCCTCTACCCGTGTAGGATGCTGAGAGCACTGCAGTAGACACTCACATGCTAATTCCCCTCTGTTGCTAGGCCCTTTGTTGTGGGTTAATGACTTGGCATCTTTATTTTTCTTAGGCAGAAGCTCCTCCTGGGGTAGAGACAGATCTTATTGATGTTGGATTCACAGATGATGTGAAGAAAGGTGGCCCTGGAAGAGGAGGGGGTGGGTTTACGGCACCTGTTGGTGGACCTGATGGAACAGTGCCAATGCCCATGCCCATGCCCATGCCATCTCCAAATACTCCTTTCTCATATCCGCTGCCAAAGGGACCAGTAAGTACATGTATAAAGTGAGTGTAAGACTCGAACTATAGGTTAACAGGAACATAGAGCAGTGAGAACATTTGGTCTTAGCCTATGTTTATCTTGTGGAACTACTACTAGAATTCAGAGAACATGGGGCTGGGAATGTGGTTTAGTGGTAGAGTGCTTGCTTAGCCTGCATGAAGCCCTGGGTTTGATTCCTCAGTACCACATAAACAGAAAAAGCTGGAAGTGGCACTGAGGCTCAAGTGGTATAGAGTGCTAGCCTTGAGCAAAAGAAGCTAAGGAACAGTGCCCAGGCCCTGAGTTCAAGCCCCAGGACTGGCCAAAAAAAAAATTCAGAAAACATCTTTGGGTTCAGCCTTATGTAATAAAGTAGAAAATGAAGAGATAGTGCTAATAAAACTTGATGTAGGCTTATCTGTAGGACCTGTTGCTGTTTTGCAGTAATTTTTTCCAAAAATGAGTAAGGATCATTTATTATGAGGTTGAAAAACTGCTTTTGTTGACAAGATGTTGGTCTTACTAGTAAGAAAGTCTGATGAGTTTTTGCTTATAACACAGTGAAGCATTTGACTTAGCAAGTTGAGGAACAGCTTTTGCCTACAGCTATGTAGAAATCTGGAGTTCTTTGGGGGACCTTTCAGGCCTTTATTCTTCCTTGGGGACCTCAAGTATGTACACACTCTTCTTTCTTTTCATACACAAGTCTCAGAAATTGGGAGCAGTGTATCTAATGTTGTTCTTCTTCACTTGCAGTCGGATTTCGGTGGACTGCCAATGGGGACTTACCAGGCTTTTCCCAACATCCATCCACCTCAAATACCTGCAACTCCCCCATCATATGAATCTGTAAGTGCCTGAGCCTCTTTTTAAAAGGCAACAGGAGAGTGAATCCAAGGAAGAAAGCAAAATAATGACCACAGGGAAGGCAAAGTTTTGATCAACTCAATTCCTAGTATGGGCATTGCTTCTGCTTTGGGATTTTTTTGTTGCTTCAGTCTCTTTTCCCTAGAGATGGGAAGAGATGGAACGTGGTGGTGGTGGTGGTGGTGGTGACTTGGCGTTGGCATCGCCTTGTCTGCAGTAAAGCCAGTTAGGAAGGGCCTGCTGCTATCTTAGAATGTAATGGTGCCCCAATAGGGCACTTAACTAGCTACATTTTGAGTAGCTAGACACAGAAATCACATGGAGTTGATACAGTTTTGGTGTTAGACTTGTTCCTCTGAATATGCTTTTTGAGACTTCTTTCCATCTGATGCTTTACTAAGAAAACAGCTATATAATTATTCATCTGGAGAGCTCCCCATTCCCGAGTTCCTTTTTTTAAAAAAAATCTCTAGTTGATTTGTTCTCTTTCTGGCATCAAAGCATGACCTAGAACTGTTTCTAAAAACAAGGCCTCCCTGGGTCCTTGGTTCTTGTGGATTGAGTGATTTAGTGCTTTGTCTTGGTCTGGCCATGGTGTGTGTGATAAGATAATTTTCTCTGCTTGGAAGTTTGGCATGGTTGGAAGGAGGTAGAAGAAGAAATAGGGAATAGCGGGCAGTTTCTTTGGGGAGCAGCTTAGCTTTTGGCAAGCACAGGGCTGGCACTGGTGTTGGTACTTTTTCTAGAAATGACATGGTTTTCCTCTGATAACGATCTTTTTGTTTCAGGTTGATGACATTAATGCTGATAAAAATGTCTCTTCTGCACAGATTGTTGGTGAGTAAGCAACAAAAACACTGTAGGTTTAGTGTAAACCCCCTGTCTTCTCATTTTCCTCCCTTAGAGACAGTTTGCATGCCTGAGGCATTCTATCCGAGTCCTGTCCTCTCCCCAAATAGAGCACTGAACTCAAGATTTCTTGCATTGGGCTGGGAAGGTGGCTCAGTGGTAAGAGTGCTTGCCTTGCATGCATGAGGCTCTGGGTTCAATTCCTCAGCACCACATAAGCAGAAAAAGCCGGAAGTGGTGCTCTGGCTCAAGTGGTAGAGCGCTAGCCTTAAAACTGAAGAGCTGAGGGACAGTGCCCAGGCCCCATGACAGGAAAGAAAAAAGAAAAAATTCTTGTTTTACAGCATAAATGATTTTCTCCAGTCTCTCAATCTCCTTGTGCTCTCCCACTTAACAATAAGAAACTGAAAAACTAGGCGATAAATCTGAGTATGTTTTGCAACTTTCATTGTGCCTGGAAATAGAAAAATGAGAGTAAAATAGGCCTAAAGCATAAAGTAGGCTCAATGAATTTACATGTGAGGCTTTTTTTTTTTTTTTTTACTTTTTTTTTAATGTAAAAATGCTGAACAGAGGGCTTACAGTTAAATGAGCAAGGTAAAGAGTACATTGCCTATTGAGCATTGTTGCCTCCTCCTTTGTTTTCCCCCTACCATCCCCCATCCCTTCCCTCCCACCTCCACAATTTACCCCTCCCCCCCACCCCCCACCCCGTGGTTGTAAAGTTTGTTTTCAGCATACTGTTTTGTATAATGTGAGGCTTTTTTTTTACACCCCTCCACCCCTAACAGGTCAGTCCTGAGCATCACCACGTGAGCTATGCTCCCAACATTTTTCTTTATTTTTCAGATAGAGTCTCATATTTTTTGTGTGGGCTGGCCTTCTATTTCAACTTCTTCCTGGAATAGCTATTGTTACAAGTGTGTGCCACCATGCCTGCTTGCTTTTTTAGATAATGTTGTTAATTCCCACCCTACCCCACACCCTGGGAGGCTGAGTTTTTAATTTTTGTCATGGGGTCTGGGCCCTGTCCCTCAATTCTTCAGCTCAAGGCTAGCGTTCTACTACTTGAGCCACTGTGCCACTTCCGGCTTTTTCTGTTTATGTGGTGCTGAGGAATCGAACCCAGGGCCTCATGCATGCAAGGCAAACACTCTCCCACTGAGCCACCTTCCCAGCACCCTGGAGCTGATTTTGAACTGTGATTCTCCCAATCTCTACTTTCTTTGTTGCTGTGATTATAGGCATAGTGGCACATACCTAATGCTGATTTTTTTCTTGAAGCTACCAGAGCTTGAACTCAGGACCTCAAACTTGACTTGCTTTACTTTTGTCTACCACTTGAGCCATACTTCCAAGCCTTCATTTTTTTGGGGGGGGGGTTGGGTAGGGGGGGTCCGGTCGTGGGGCCTGAACTCTGGGCCGGGGCGCTGCCCCTCAGCTCTTCAGCTCAAGGCTAGCGCTCTACCACTTGAGCCACAGTGCCACTTCTGGCTTTTTTCTTTTTGCTTATGTGGTGCTGAGGAATTGAACCCAGGGCCTCAGGCATACAAGGCAAGCACTCTACCACTGAGCCACCTTCCTAGCCCCCCCCCCCCCTTTTTTTTTTAAAGTACTGTTTTCTTCTGCCTTTTTGTCTTTTTTTCTATCAAAGGAGATGGTAAGTCATTTCTCTGGTGTTTGTAACATTATACTCTTTTCCCTCATTTCATTAGGTCCTGGAGCTAAGCCAGAAGCCTCTGCAAAGCCTCCTTCCAGACCTGTTGATAACTTTGTACTGCCGGAATTACCATCGGTGCCAGACACGCTCCCCACTGCATCTGCTGGAGCCAGCACGTCAGCATCTGAAGACATAGACTTTGACGATCTTTCCCGCAGATTTGAGGAGTTGAAGAAGAAAACATAGGCGTTTTAACCAGGTACTTGCCATGTTCCAGGAGTTGAGACTGAGCAGTTTTTCCTTGCAACAAAGAATCTCCATGAAATTCCATTTCATCTATTAACATTGAATACAACCTTCCTCAAGGCTCTCTTCCACATTCTGTGGTTTCCCAGTTCTCTGTGATATTAAGAGACCAACACCTGGAGACTCTTAAGGCCAGAGCATCTGACTCCTGGCAGCTGTGCTTGTGTCCTCTCGGAGGGATCCCAGGTTCTCTTCTGGACAGGTGCTCCCCAGGAGAGTGACAAGTTGAAGCATTGTGGGAGAGCTGGCTGGACAGTGGAGAAGGGCACCTCAATAAAGTGTTTCAGCCTTGTGTGGAGGTTGCAGACCTGCAAACACATTTCCTGGCCCAGGGATATTGTGAGAATCAAGGTCATAAGGCATTTTCTCACTGGTATGAGTAGGAGAAAGTAAATGGTTCCTGGAAGCAGAGTCTTCCTGTTGGCGTATACACTACTCCTCCTTCAGGGCACTGTTCCACCTGGATCCAGTTGCAGAATTTATTTGGAAAAAAAGTTAAATGCTCCTCTTAGCTGGATTCTCAGGGAGCCCTCTGTGGCCTTTTGCTTTATTTTGAGTGCCACGTTTCCTTTTCTGCAGAGGGCAGTACTGTATTAACTTGCTTTCCCCCAGCATGTTACTTGCAGAGGGAAGAGCAGGTCCCATATTGGGCAGAAGCCACCGTTCAAGCATAGGGTAGGCTTCCAGCTGCCTTAATAGAAGTACTCGAGTCTCTTGGGTAGTGAGCTGGAAAGCCTACAGAAGAGGGATATGCGTTTTCATTTGAAAACTTTAAAAAACACAATTGACGTCAAAATTTTGAGTACCCACGTGGCTGTAGTTCACTGCTTTCCCTGGGTGGACGAGGCTCTTAAAGCTCTAACTTATGTGCTCCCTTCCCCCCTAGCTGAGGCCATCCTCCCCCAGAGCTGGCTTTACTTTTGTTGTGTCTGTACATACCTGTTTGAAGCAACCTTTCTTTAATGATTGATTTGTGTCTCATAGCTCAGTAGCTGATAATAAAGTTAAAGATCCTGTGTCCTGCTTTTTTTTCACCGATCGGTCAACTGATGTATGAATTTGGATTTTAGTAGAGTCTGTTTTAAGCACATACTCCAGTTTGGTTCACTAGGCAGAGACAACCTTCACCTGGGGCTCGTTTAGTAATGTAGATGAGAACCATTAGAGGCTCGTTTCCATCTCTCTATTTGAACCCAGGTAGTATTTGTGAGTTTGGTTACACCTCCAGGGCAAAGTGTCCTTGTATGTCTGGTTTTAGTAAGTTGTATAGAACTTACCTATGCCCCATTTCCTTCCCACAGCCATCCTGGTGGCCAGTTGTCTGTCACTTGCTTCTTGACAGGAAAATAGCCTCGTGCTAGTCTTCCTTCAGTGTTACTCCCTTCCCAGCTGTTGCCTTAGCTCCACAAGCTACAACTTGGAGCCATGGGATTTTGATTCCTCATCAACTTAGCGTTAAAATACATACATCTCGTTGTTGGTGGTGGTTGTGGGGCTTGAACTCAGTGCTTGGGCACTGTCCCTGAGCCTTTGTGCTCAAGGCTAGCACTCTACCACTTGAGCTACAGCATCACTTGCAGTATTTCAGTGGTTAATTGGAGATGAGAGTCTCATGAGGACTTTTCTGCCTAGGCTGGCTTTGAACTGCGATCCTCAGATCTCAGCCTCTTGAGTAGCTAAGATAACAGGTGTGAGCCACTGGCATCCGGCTTCATTTTCTAACATATATTTAGATGTATATATTTAACATGCTAACTAAGATAGGAGGTAACAGGATATTTAAAAGACAGTATGATGTTTAGCTGTCAAGAAATAAGACTTCAGGGGCTGGGAAGGTGGCTCAGTGGTAGAGCGCTTGCCTTGCATGCATGAGGCCCTGGGTTCGATTCCCCAGCACCACATAAGCAAAAAGAAAAAAACCAGAAGTGGCGCTGTGGCTCAAGTGGTAGAGCGCTAGCCTTGAGCTGAAGAGCTGAGGGGCAGCACCCAGGCCCAGAGTTCAGGCCCCACAACCGGACCCAAAAAAAAAAAAAAAGAAATAAGACTTCAGAAAGTACTTCTTGGATATGGAGGTATGGCTCAGTATGGCTCACTGTATTGTAGAGTGCCAGCCAGGGAGAGAAATGCCAGACACTGAGTTCAAGTCTTGGTCTTTGGGTGGAAGGAAAGACACTTAAGACTTGAATCAATACCCATTGTCATGACTCTTCCTCAGCTGAGGGGTTCTGGTGCTGCGGGATTCCTAATAGATTTGAGAGCTTCTGTAGCAACATATCTGTCAGTGCAGCTTCTTTCTGAGTATTTAAGGCAAAAGAGAAAAAGTGAGATCATTGAAATTATTCCTAATACTAAAGTAAAAAAGAGATAAAGGCCGCCAGATGTTGGAATGTTTCTGCTACCTAATGGTTGAGGACTAACTATTGATGGCACTGTGTGGCTGTCGAATGCAATACGTTGGGAGAACTGTTGCATGACAGGCTAGTGCTGTGCATTATGTTATAGTCTGTAACATTGCTGTTTTGGGGAGAAAGGTGACCTGAGAAAGGTCCGGTATAACCCACCCAGACTGGCCTTCAACTCTTGGTTCTCTTTCAACCTTTTTCCTTCCCCAAGTTCTGCGATTATAGGCTATAATCTTTAAGGAGTTTTTTTCCTAGTGAGTTAAAGTAATAATTTTATAGTTACTTACCTGAAGAGATTTTCTTTCTTTTCCAAAGGCAATGAGAATGGCAGAAACAAAAAGATTAATGATCACAAATACCATTAAGATGACATTGCTGAGGATGAGGAAGGAGCCCAGGACTGGGTGTAAGTCAATAACCTGGAAGACAGGAAGACCACTTTGACTTAACATTTGAGTTTCTTCCTTACAAACAAGCTGGAGAAAGTGGTGCTGTAGCTCAAGTGGTAGAGTGCTAGCCTTGAACACATAGAGGCTCAGGGACAGCGCCCAGGCCGAGTTTAAGCCCCAGGACCAGCAAAAACAAAAAACGAACAAGCTGGGATATGTTCATGAGCAAACATTGATGTCTGTTGGAAGTTAGAAAAGCAAAATACTAGAAAATAATTTTTTTTTTTTTTTGTCAGTTGTGGGGCCTGAACTCTGGGCCTGGGTGCTGTCCGTCCCTCAGCTCTTCAGCTCAAGGCTAGCGCTCACCACTTGAGCCACAGCTCCACTACTGGCTTTTTCTGTTTATGTGGTGCTGAGGAATCGAACCCAGGGCCTCATGCATGCAAGGCAAGCACTCTACCACTGAGCCACCTTCCCAGCCCCGAAAATAAAATTATGTGGACATAAGTTCCCAAAGAATACTAATATAGTTTTGATTTCACAACTTGCAAAGAAGAAAACAAGTGAGTTGTAGTGGAATTGCAAATTCTGGAAAACGTATCTAAACATGGAAGCCTCAAGGGGTAGCAAATGCATATGGAAAAAGTGTATATGTCAGTCACAAAAGGACTGGTTTTTGCTGTCTGAGAAACTTCTAGGCACAGAAGCATTGTAATAAAAGGTCAAAGAAAACGGGCTTTTGACTAGAATGTAGCTCATTGGTAAAGCATTTGCTGTGCATGTGCAATCTCCAGTATGAGGATCAACACCAAGAAAACTGGCTTTTCATGCTAGTGCCTCTTCTCCCATTGTCTTTTATTATTTATTTTTAGCTATATTGGGGATTGAACTCAGGATCTCCTACTTGCTAGGCACACACTCTACCATTTGAGCCATGCCTCCAGCCCTGCTTTTTGCTGATTATTTTGGCGATGGAATCTAGCAAACTTTGTGCCCTAGCTAGCTTCAAACTGTGATCCAGATTTCATCCTCTGGGGCAGCTTAAGATAGGTGTGAGCCACTGGCACATGTCTCTCAATGTGATAAAATATGTCCAAGTACCAATGTTTTAGCCACTAAAAAGTGCTTAATTATAACATCTAGGTTGACCAAATAATTTGGCTATTTTAAATTTTTTTAATTTTTTAATTGAGGACTGACCACAGGGCATTGGACTTGCTGGGCAAGTGTTCTTCCACTGAGCTAAATTCCCAACCCCTTTATTACTTCTTTATTTTTTGCCAGTCCTGGGGCTTGAACTCAGGGCCTGGGCACTGTCCCTGAGCTTCTTTTGCTTAAACCTAGCACTCTACCACTTGAGCCACAGCAACAATTACGGCTTTTTCTGTGTATGTGGTACTGAGGAATTGAACCCAAGGCTTCATGCATGCTAGCCAAGCACTCTACCACTAAACCACATTCCCAGTCTCCCCATCCCCTTTTTAAAATTAGTATTATTTTTGTGTGTGTGTTGGTCTTAGAGCTTGAGCTCAGTGCTTTGTACTCCTGAGCTTTTCTATGCAAGGCTAACACTCTACCACTTGAGCTACAGCTCCACATCTGTCTTTTTTGGTAGTTGATTGGAGTTAAGAGTCCCATAGACTTGGGGCTGGGAAGGTGGCTCAGTGGTAGGGCGTTTGCCTTGCATGCCTGAGGCCCTAGGTTTGATTCCCCAGCACCACATAAGCAAAAAGAAAAAAAGCCAGAAGTGGCGCTGTGGCTCAAGTGGTAGAGCGCTAACCTTGAGCTGAAGAGCTGAGGGACAGTGCCCAGGCCCAGAGTTCAGGCCCCACGACTGGACCCCCCCCCCCCCAAAAAAAAAAAAAAAAAGAGTCCCATAGACTTTCTTGCCCTGGCTGATTCTGAACGTGATCCTCAGATCTCAGCCTTATGAGTAGTTAGGATTACAGGCATAAGTTGGGTTACTGGTGCCTGGCTTGGCTTTCTTCTTCTTTTTTCTTTTTTTGGTGTGTGCTGGTACTGGAATTTGAACTTTTAACCTTTCACTCTCATCTTTTTTGCTAATGGGTAGCACTCTACCACTTGAGCCACATCTCTCATTCTGTCATTTTGCTGGTTAGTTGGGGGAAAGGTATATAAGGGTGTGTATAATTGATCAAACTATATTCTTTACTATTTGGGACTCAGATCCTCTTCTGAACTAACCCCCTTGTTAGATTTGTTGTGGCAAAGAGAATTCTAATTCTAATCCTAACTACTTAGACTGAGATCTGAAAATCAAGGTTTGGAGCCAGCCTAGGCAGGCAGATCTGTGAGATCCGTGGTAGAGCCATCAGCATGCTTGCCAGTTGGTGGACAAGCCTCAGTATCAGCAGAAAGAAAAAAGAAAAGAGTTCTGTAAGAAAGTAGGTTTTGTGTTTTTGTTTATTTTACCTCCTCATGGTGAGAAATTCCCATCAGGAGGCCAACAACAGTTACTGCAGAGCTGAAGAAAGTCTGGTAGTCTGCAATGCTCCATCCAAACAGCAGGTTAAACTGGACAGGAGAAGGGCCAGTCAGTGGTGCCAAGTGTATCTCTCTGTTGTCCAATATAGAACCGATACAATGGAAATTCCCTTTGGCCATTCAAGTGACCACTGATGACACCATGATCTAAGTTTCATCCCCATTTTTAGAGACAATGAGTAAAGGATAGAACAGAACTAGCTCAGCCTTTCTTGCTCCATGACACCTCCAAAACTGATTGCCAGCTTGAATGGATGAGTCTCCACACAGTAACCCTTTTCTGAAGGAAGAGATGGGATTTCAAGACCACAGCGCTTAGGGGGAAGAGATCTGCAGGTGTGAGGGGCTCACCATCATGGCGTAGCTGCTCAGCAGGATGAGAATGACCAGCAGGAAGCCCACCACCTCATCCCAGGCTTTGTTCAGGGTGTTGCTGATGACCTTCAGCCTGGGGTTATGTAGCAGCAGGTTCCATAGTTGAACAGTTGCCAACAGGACCAGGAAGCCCACGAGGTGAGTGACTGCACAGCTCACGCTGACTGCCTCATAGAAGCTGATGAACCTGTTACCAAGGAGAACTGATGTGACTGCCACCTGCAGTGCTTGTGCTCCGAGTGCAGTGGCTCTGGTCCCTGCTGAGGGAGGAGATCTGCTTCACTTGTGGATTTGAGAGTATTTGCAAGGCGGCATTCGATGATTGGGTCCTACTCTGAGAGGTGACCTCTAGTTGATTGCTTTCCTCTTAGTTCATCCCGAAAACATGACCAGCCTCCTTTACTGTGTTGGTGGGACCTGAACCTCTCAAGAAGCGATGACTTAACCGAGTGAGCTGTGCTACCATCCTGCCAGTCTGCATTCCCTAAGATTCCAACCAGTCATTCTAATAAGCTTCATAGGGCTGAGAGTGGACTGATGGGTAAATGGAAGTGAAGGGTGTTGCACAGCAATTAGGTTTTGTTGATTATTTTATGTGTCAGCAACTAGGTCATTTGAAGACCCCTCCGTAGACACGAGCAAGCTGGCACCCAGTCTTAATTCTTGTTTTGTCTTCACAGTTCTCCAAGAAAGCCTACCAGAGACTCTGCCCCAGGCAGAGTTTCTTCAGATGAGCAGCCCAGGCTGTTGGCCTCAGGCAGTAACAGATACTTCTCCCCACAGAAAAGACCAGAGAAAACCCAAAGAGGTACCAAGCATCTGCTGGTGTGGTTCGGGGCGGGGAGCACCTGGCCCTTAGGATGTGTACAGCTTGTGAACCATGTACTACACGGGAGACCAGGCACTTCGGTTTCTCATCATAGACCTCACCAGCTGTCCATGGGCTTTCTGTGCTGATAATTGTGTATGGCCAGAATGTTACAAATATCCAAATGGCTCTTGGCACAGGAAATGGCGAAGAACATCCCTATCTGGAATGAAACCCCTTTGCATTTAGAGACGGGCTATGCGTTGTGGACATAAATCTTTTTCATGTCTCTTCCTTTGGCTTTGTGCCTTGGACACAGTACACATAACGGCCTTGCTCTGTGCAATGTGTGTATGATTATCTTTGACAAGCACGTACCTAAGCACTCCTGAAGCAGAAGAACTTTTCAACATGTCCTCTGCTAGAAATGCTCTTTTTCTCTGCTGTTGACATTAGTGTAACTTCTATTTTAACTCAGTATTATCAGAGGTCTGGAAAGGCAGTGACGAAAGGAAGGGCAGTGTGAGAGCATACTTGCCTGTCAGAGAGAAACTAGACGTGAGGTAGGACTGGCCTGTGTTCCCAGCTCCCTCTTACCTCTCTGGGTCATGGCGATATTGTGCCATGTTTTTCTTATGTAGAGAAATGCGCCTCATGTCAAGTCCCAAGATGCTGAAGCTAATGACGACTATGCTCAGGTCCAGAACGTTTCTCTTTCTAGTGAAGAACCTCCACTTCTGCTGTTTAAGCCGACAGCCCTAAACACAGACACCCTGGTTACCTTTTGCTTGAACGATTAGCTGGGCTGGTCCTGAGAAGCGTTCTGACTATTAGGGGCAAAGCACACGGCATGGCAATTTCAATTTGTGCCAGACCTGCTGGGTCTGGCCTTCACTCTGCTGAAGCACTTCTCATCACTTAGAAATGCTTCTTGCATAGCTGGGCATCAGTGTCTCATGCCTGTAATCCTAGCTACTCTGGAGGCTGAGATCCAAGGATCGTGGTTCAAAGCCAGCTGGGCAGGAAAGTCCCTGAGACTCTTAGCTCCAATTAACTACCAGAAAACTGGAAGTGGTGCCGTGGCCCTAGTGGTAGAACACTTGCCTTGAGCTGAAGAGCTGAGGGACAGCGCCCAAGCCCAGAGTTCAAGCCTTATGACTGACCCCTCTCCCCCCCCAAAAAAAAAATGCTGCTTGGCCTTTAGTATAACTTCGTTTGATGCAATCATTTGTTTTTTTTAAAGATTAGGAACCTGTTGGTTACACATAAAAACTCTCACCAGGGGCTGGGATGTAGCTCAGTGGCAGAGCACTTGCCTACTAGCAAGTGCAACGTTCTGGGTTCGATCCCCAGTACCAAAAAAGAAAAGACAAAAACAAAAAAAAAACTCTCACCAGGCCTGGGAATAAAAACTTTTTAGAGCAATTTCATCTTAGTTCTTGCTTTTTTGCAGCATACTTTTTTTTTTTTTTGGTCGGTTGGGGGGCTTGAACTCTGGGTTTGGTTGCTGTCTCTCAGCTCTTTAGCTCAAGGCTAGCGCTCTACCACTTGAGCCACAGCGCCACTTCCAGCTTTTTTTTTTCTGCTTATGTGGTGCTGAGGAATCAAACCCAGGGGCTTACGCATGCAAGGCAAGCGCTCTACCACTGAGCCACCTTCCCAGCCCCTAGCATGCTTTCTTGATATTTCATAGGGGGTGATAAGCTAGTAGCATCCCTATAGATGTAATGAGTCTGTATGTTTTGTTTGTTTTGATGATGTCTGTGTATTGAAGGAGGTACTGGTGTTTGAACTCAAGGTCTCATACTTGCCAGGCAGGTGGCTCTACCATCTGCCCTAGACTTGGTTTTGTGTGTGTGTGTGTGTGTGCCACTACTGGGGCTTGAACTCAGTGCCTGGGCACTGTCCCTGAGCCTTTTCTGCTCATAGGTAGTGTTCTACCACTTGAGCCACAGCTCCACTTCAGACTTTTTTGGTGCTTAATTGGAGATGAGTGTCTCATGAACCTTTCCTGCCTGGGCTGGCTATGAACTGAAATCCTCAGACGTCAGCCTCCAGAATAGCTGTGACTACAAGCATGAGCCACTGATTCAGACTTATTTCTTTTTTTTGGGGGGGGGGTCTGGTCGTGGGGCCTGAACTCTGGGCCTGGGCGCTGTCCCTCAGCTCTTCAGCTCAAGGCTAGCGCTCTACCACTTGAGCCACAGCGCCACTTACGGCTTTTTTCTTTTTGCGTATGTGGTGCTGAGGAATCGAACCCAGGGCCTTGGGCATGCAAGACAAGCGCTCTACCACTGAGCCACCTTCCCAGCCCCTCAGACTTATTTCTTTAACCCACAAAAATTGGAAGAACTATTCTACTTGGAAAACTAGTCAACTTCTAACATTGTAGACTTCTTGGGCCAAAATACCAGCCCCAATTCTAGTTAGAGTCATGGCGATTTTCTCCTGTCACGCCCACAGTTCAGTTCACCTGTTGGAAGGTGTAGTAACAGACAAGAAGATAGTGGACGACTTGGGAGGCAGTCGTCCAGGCGAAGCCCTTCTCTGATGTCTGAAGGGAAGTTAAACTCTCCAGTCGTACGGAGGTAAAGAGAGTACCTGAGAGTAACAGAACAGAACAGACTTCTGCCTAGGCTGGCTTCGAACTGCCATCCTCAGATCTCAGCTTTCTGAGTAGCCAGCAGCACCTGGCTTTTCCTTTTGTTTATTTGTACTCCTGTGCCTTTTTGTAGTGGGATCAAAAACCTTGTAAAGCCTTCAGCTTTGTTTGGAGATGAAGATAGAAGTGTCTAGTCTGATGGTAGGGGAGGACACGGGTCCTGGTGGCATGGAACACCTGGTGCTGAACTGGGAAGACATGTTAGCACATTCTGGGGAGGAGGAGGAGGAAGTTGGATTAAGAAAGCCTTTCTAGAAAGTAGAGACGGAATGTTCTACTTTCCATACAACCTCTTAGGAAGTGCCAAGATGCTAGAAGGCAACAACAACAAACAAGGGGGGGAGGATGTGCGTGATGGGCGTACACATAAAAAAGCTAAGTCCTCATCCTCCTACAAGTACGATAACTGAAAACTACAATTAACCTTGACTCGTGTTCACACGTCATCATGCGTGGGGCCACTGTTGGGGCTTGGACTCAGGGCCTCTTACTCTCACTTGGCGTTTTTGTTCCAGGCTGGTGCTTTACCATTTGAGCCATACCTGCACTTCTGGCTTTTTGGTGGTTAATTGGCATTTTTCTGCCCTGGCTTGCTCTGAACTGCGATCCTCAGATCTTAGCCTCTGGAGTAGCTAGGATTACAGGCATGAGCCACCACCACCCAGTACTATTTGACTTGTAAAATACTTACATGCAATAACTTCAGTGAACTAATACCTTTAGATGAATTGGAACAGAGAACTCATTTTGGCCACAGGGAAGAGAGGAAAGACCTTCATACCCACATGATTGGATTCCAAAATCAGGGTCACAACACAGAACAGATTCACATTAGCATTGAAGACCACAAATTCCACAAAGAGGCCTTTGGTGCATCGGTCTAGCCAGTGACTCTGCTCAAGGTGCTGGAGAACTCTGGGAAACAATAGAGGATGGAGCCAGCTACTTCCTCCCTTCTGTACCGCAAAGGAGAAAGTACCCTGCTGCTTCCAGTAAGAAGCCACACCCCCCCCAACCTAGTTTTCCTGTAAAACATTTTGTGATTATGAGTACTCGAACTTTGAACACAGTTAACATGCATATAAATTAAGTAGACTACAAAAATGAGGAACTTCAACACATCTGTAATCCTAGCATCAGGGAGGCTGAGGTGGGCGGATCAGGAGATTTGAGGTCTGCCTGGGCTACAGAATGAGTTCAAGGCCAACCTGGGACACAGTGAGACCCTGACTAAAGAACCTCCCTACACTTTTTGTTTTCTTTTTCACAAAAGCTTCCACACCAAGGTTTAAACATTTAGGAAAAGATATTTAGCATGTAAGTTCTGAGACAGAATTAATTTTCTATGTCAGCTACTTTCTATAGAACATTAAATACTCTGAACCAACAGCTATTGGGCTTTAAGAGGTAGGAGTATAAATGTCATTGGTTGATGTTTTTGAGTAATTTCTTGCTGTGAATTTTCTTTTTGTGGTGCTGGCGTTTGAACTTAGGGTATTACACTTACCAGGGAGGAGCTCTACCTCAGCACAGAGCTGGTAATTTTTTAAATTAAAAAAATTTTTTTTGCTATTCCTGGGGCTTGAACTCTGGGCTTGGGTGCTGTCCCTGAGCTTCTTTAGCTGAAAGTGAGCACTCTACTACTTGAGCCACAGCATCACTTGCAGCTTTTTTGAGTAGTTTATTGAAGATAAGTGTCTCATGGACTTTCTTGCCCAGGCTGGCTTTGAACCGCAATCCTCAGATCCTCAGATCTCGATCTCGGCCTCCAGAGTAGCTAGGATTAAGGGCATAAGCCACTGGCGCCCGGCTTGCACTGGTAATTTTTTTTTTTGGGGGGGGGGGTCCGGTCGTGGGGCCTGAACTCTGGGCCTGGGCGCTGTCCCTCAGCTCTTCAGCTCAAAGCTAGCACTCTACCACTTGAGCCACAGCGCCACTTCCTGCACTGGTAATTTTTAAGGTAAGGTTTTGCTTCCTGCTTGGATGCCTGTCTGGACACGATCCGCTTATGTTTAGTGTTGCTATAGTTGTTGGCATCACAGGCATGTGCCACTGTGTCCAGCTTTTCCCCCATTTTCTGTCCAAGCTGGCCTCCAATCACAATCCTCTCAGTCTCAGCCTTTCAAGTAGCTAGGACTACAGATGTGAGCTAGTAGAAAACCACTATTAATATATTTCTCTTTCAAGAGGGTATCATTTTAATTTTTGCTTTATTCATAATGACAAAAACTGTGAATCCATACGCTAAATCAGTTATTAGGTCTGGCACTTTTGGCATTTGCGCTTTGGATTATTACACATCATGGCTTACAAGGACACTGTAGGTTTTAGTATTTGAAGATTACAGCGTGTGCAAGCTAGAGTTAGTGGAGTTCAACTGCAGCTAGAATGGAAACATCTTTTTCCAGACTAAAAAAGAATGAATTCTGAAAATTCTCGAAGTCAAAACATACCTTTGAATTTGAGCAAGGACTTTGTAGACTAAAAGGTACATTTCAGAAGAAGCCTAAAATAAAAGTATCTATAGCATCACAGGCAGTAGAGTTAGGATTATTACAGTGGTTGCACCTACTCAAATGGGTCTTGAATCCTGAGTGTCCTGTACACACCGAAAAAAGACAGGAGCGAGTGCTCACCTGGCTGCAGAACTGAAGTTCCTTCCGAGTCGCACAGCATACCCTCCTCCTGCGTAGGTGGCCAATTCTCCTTGGATGGGATAGCCACCCAGTGTGCGCTGATCCTGGTAATGCCAAATGCTGTCTGCTTCAGTCAGATTTGTGTCGGGGAGGCCCCAGCCAACCCCATAGTTCCCTCTGTCCTCCTGATACAGGTCAGATGACATGACTTGTTCTTTGAGAGAGACTGGGAAGAGTGTGGCCTTAGGAATGCGAATCTGCCGGAGCAGAACATTGCCCAAAAGAAAGGAGTTCCCATCAGTAATAAACCCTAGTGAGAAAAGAGACACCAATTTTAAAAATTGCTTCCTTAACTGAGTGCAGGATTTTCCTGCCTGGCTGTCTTGGAACTTCAATCCTCAGATTTCAGCTTCCTGAGTTGCTAGGATTACAGTGTAAACCCAGTGCCCTGCTGAAAGAACCTTCTTATGTGAGGTGCAGAAAAATACAGAGGGACAGCGATACTGAGAAGGTGGCTGACTTTATTCCAGCTTGTGGGTTTGAAAAACAAACTCTACCTTCCCTCGTTTGCCCAGAACTGCCTCCTTACCTCTGTAATTCCCATAGAGGTTCGGAAGGAGGGTGTGGTTGGCCCAGGGGTAGAAGTCCTTGAGAAATTTGATTTCTGAGAAACCGTGAGAAAAACTCTTCCAGAGAGCTTGATGGAGGAAAAATCTGTTAGAGTTCTTTGAAGAGTAGACCACAGTCATCAACAGGATAAGGAAGAGGGTTTGTACTAGTTTAAAAAGGAAGAGAACCATGAGTAGTTACTCAGAAATCCTCTATATATTTGTCTTCATTTTTATCTAACCCTACACCCTTGCAGATAAACAGTAAAAATCAGCAATTTCATGTAGTTCAATCTAATCATTACAAATATAAACGTACACACACATATATTTACATTTTTTTTTTTTTTGGGTCCGGTCGTGGGGCCTGAACTCTGGGCCTGGGCGCTGTCCCTCAGCTCTTCAGCTCAAGGCTAGCACTCTACCACTTGAGCTATAGCGCCACTTCCGGCTTTTTTCTTATGTGGTGCTGAGGAATCGAACCCAGGGCCTCAAGCATGCAAGGCAAGTGCTCTACCACTGAGCCACCTTCCCAGCCCCAATATTTACATATTTTGTACCCAGAATGATTCTACCACTAATCAGAAATTATTGAAGATCCATAAAAATATTGTTTTTATAATTTTTTTTTTTTTGTCGGTCGTGGGGCTCGAACTCTGGGCCTGGGCGTGGTCCCTCAGCTCTTCAACTCTAGGCGAGTGCTCTACCACTTGAGCTACAGCGCCACTTGTTTTTATAATTTTTTTGTTTCCATTTTCTTTTTTTTGTCGGTCATGGGGCCTGAACTCTGGGCCTGGGTGCTGTCCCTCAGCTTTTCAGCTCAAAGCTAGTGTTCTACCACTTGAGCCACAGCGCCACTTCCGGCTCTTTCTGCTTATGTGGTGCTGAGGAATCAAACCCAGGGCCTCATGCATGCAAAGCAAGCGCTCTACCACTGAGCCACCTTCCCAGCCCTCCATTTTCTTTTGACTACTTGTGTTCACAAGAAGGGAAGACATGATTAAATCAGAATCTGACCCAGGGAATCCAGTATTGTATTAAATAGGTTGAAGCAGTCATCTAGCACTTAATCATTTCCCATAGCATTTCCATTTTTCCTAGGAAGTAGTGGATCCTATCTGGCAAACGGAGAAGACGACCCACTCACATGCACAGAGAAATCACTACAAGTCTGGAATCTGCTCACTTGCCATATTCCATGAAGGCTTTTTTCTTGGTGCTAATACTGGGGCTTGAACTAAGGGACTGGGTGCCATCCCTTACCATTTTTTTTTTGCCAGTTGTGGGGCCTGAACTCTGGGCCTGGGTGCTGTCCCTCAGCTCTTCAGCTCAAGGCTAGCGCTCTACCACTAGAGCCACAGCGCCACTTCTGGCTTTTTCTGCTTATGTGGTGCTGAGGAATCGAACCCAGGGCCTCATGCATGCAAGGCAAGCAGTCTACCACTGAGCCACCTTCCCAGCCTCCCCTTACCTTTTTTCCTAAGGCTAGTGCTCTACCATTTGACCCACACCTGCACTTCCAGCTTTTTGGTGGCTAATTGGAGATAACTGTCCACCCAGACTGGATTCTTTTCCCCTCTTCTATATTTTCCATTTTATTCTCATTCTACCTTTCCCTCCAGGAGGATGTGCTGTATAGTCGGCATGAGACCACCCACTTCTTCTCCTTACCCAACATATCACCCGTCAGCTTCACGAGTTTCTTCTTTTTCCAGGTTCTCTTTGGGTCGTTGGTTGGCCTCGTCACCACTGGGGCTTTGTAAATGGGGTTGTTCTTATCTCTCGAGCCAGACAACGATGAAGAACATTTTGCTGTCAGAATTTCAAATACAGGCCAATGAGTGTTAGGTTAAGCGGTTGTCCAGTATTTGTTGAGCATCTATTGTGAGCCTTTCCTGCTGCTTGTGAAGGATGCTGAACAAAGCTATGAGCAGTACTTCTCAACTACCTATGGTAAAGGACCCATTTTTAGAGTTTTGGATTCTGATTTATTGGAGTCCAAGACCTTTATAAAATAAAAATTAGTGATTAGAAAATGAAGTTTAACAGAAGTCTATAAAATACAAACCTTGGGGCTGGGAGCTGTGGCTCTGTGGTAGAGCACTTGCCTAGGTTTGCCCTGGTTTGATTGCCAATGCTATCACCAAAAGACCAGCCACTTTTTTTTTTTGTCGGTTGTGGGGCCTGAACTCTGGGCCTGGGCGCTGTCCCTGAGCTCTTCTGCTTAAGGTGAGCATTCTACTACTTGAGCCACTACACCACTTCGGTTTTCTGGTGGTTAATTGGAGGCAAGAGTTTCATGGACTTTTCTGCGTGGGCTGGCTTTGAACGATCCACAGATCTCAGCCTCCTGAGTAGTTAGGGTTACAGGCGTGAGCCACTGGCGCCTGGCTAACAAGCCACTTTTGAGACAGTGTCTTGCTATGTAGTTCAGGCTGGCCTTGAACTGGCAATCCTCCTACCTCAGCCTCCCAGTACTGGGATTGAAGGCATGGAACACTATGACTGGCTAAGGATTTTCCCCTCCTTATTTTGGTGCTGAGCATTGAACCCAGGGCCTCATGCATGCCCATCAAGCACGGTCACTGAGTTACATCCCCAGCCCTTGTTTTGAAGATCAGATATAATAGGCATAGAAATAAGTACTCTGCCGAGTTCCTGTGAAAGTTTCTAAGTGCTTCCTTTCGACCTCTTCCCTTGTCCTACACTGGAGAGCAGTGGCTGTCATCAGCAGTCCGCACTAGAGAACACTACTGTCAGTGTTAATACCAGATTCTCGGATAAGACTCAACATCTGCTTTTCTGAAAGTTCCAGAACACGACAGTGCTGCTAGACTGCAGACTACTCTGAGTTGAAGAATCTAGAGACATCTAAGTCAAGAGGAAGAGACAAAAGGAAGATGGGAGAGAGGCTGGGAAGGTGGCTCAGTGGTAGAGTGCTTGCCTTGTATGCATGAGGCCCTGGGTTCGATTCCTCACCACATAAACAGAAAAAGCCAGAAATGGTGCTGTGGCTCTAGTGGTAGAGTGCTAGCCTTGAGCTGAAGAGCTGAGGGACAGTGCCCAGGCCCAGAGTTCAGGCCCCACGACCGGCAAAAAAAAAAAAAAAAAAGGAAGATGGGAGAGAGAAAATAGAGTTAAGACATTAACCTTGCCAGTGTATACGAGTATATACAAGATCACAAAAAATAAGCAAATATCTCTAAAAAGTCAGAGGTTTGGTTTCATCGATCCTGGGCTAAGGATCAAATCCAGCAAGTACTCTATTATGAAGCTACACTCCAGCCTGACATTTGTTTTGAAGGATGAGTCACAACTCTGATGGAAAAAGGCAAGAATAAGAAAAAAAATTCCCCATTGTCAGAAAACAATTCATAATGCATGGAGAAATGAACTAAGGGTAAGAAAGAAGTCTAGAGCTGGCTGTCGGCTCACATTTGTAATCCTAGCTCTTCAGGAGGCTGAGATCAGAGGATCATGGGGTAAGCCAGGATCAGCAAGAAAGTCCAGAGACTCTTTTCCTCAGTTATCTTTCCAAAAAACAAGTTGAGCTGTGGCTCAAGTGGAGCCTGAGTGGAAAAAGCTAAGGGTCAGTGCCCAGGCTGTAACTTCAAGCCCCCAGTGTACACACACACACACGGACACACACACACACACACACACACACGGACACACACACACACGGACACACACACACACGGACACACACACACAGACACGCATGCGCACAGAGTTTCAAGTGAGATTGTTCATTTTCTCTCAGCAGTACAGCCCCTGGTCAGCCTGAGCAACAAGTGCTCACAGCTTCCCATCCACCACAGACTCTGCCGCGGTGCCAGCCCTTCTTTTTCCTTCTAGTTAAGAAATGATATGACATCAACACTGCACTCATTTTTTTGCAATTGAATTTCTGACCCCCCATTTTGCGCGTGGCTGTCCTCTGGGTGGTGTGGATGGTCTATGGGCAGTGTTGTAGAGGATGCCTTCCTCAGGCTTGGTGAGAGGATGTGGGAAGGAAAGAGGGGTTTGGGGTTTCTCTGACACCTTTAGAGAGTGGCGGCACACTTGACTAAAGGGAGACAGTAGAGACGTGGGTTCGTGGGGCAGACAGTTCAGTGTGACACCTGGGCACTGGAATACGGATGGTGACGCTGAGCAATAGCATCGGGGCTCAGAGGGAGAAAGACGGGGCAGGAGGGCTGGACCACAGGGAGCACTGCAGCGCACCCAAGCTGGAGGCTAAGCGGCAACAGCCAACGACACACAAGGTCTCTGAATGGGTGAACTGGCTGGATTCCACTGTTGCAAGTTTCTCTTTAGCAACTGAGATGGTAGCTAGGATTAGGTGACTTACCCCAAAGTGCCAAGATCCTCTTGGTCTGTTGCTCCTTTTCTTTGTTAAGCCAGGGCATCCTGCTCGCCAGCAGTGAGAGTAGGAATGTGAAGACGATCACCTAGACAGGAAGGTCACAGGAGAACGCCACGTGTTCCAAGGCCTTAGAACGTGATGCAGGCTAACACCACCTTTCAGTCCTGTGTTCCTTTACTTTCATGAAACACAGAATTAGCCAATCATAAACACTATTTTATACATATGGGGATCTGAAAGGGCACTTGAGAATCTGTTAATAGTCGTATTTCAAGTCTGAGGTTCTTAAGCTGGTTGGGTAGGAAAGCTTAAACTATTAAGTGATTTGTGTGGCTTGTGTAAGTTGTACAGTAACATGTCAGTCTCTTTGGAAGATCTTCAGTAGAGAGTTAGGCTGGGAAAGCTGGAAGTTTAGACACCCCAAGGATAGTTCCCGACCCCTGCAAAAAAAATGTCATGGAGGGCTGGGAAGGTGGCTCAGTGGCAGAGCGCTTGCCTTGCATGCATGAGGCCCTGGGTTCGATTCCTCAGCACCACATAAGCAAAAAGAAAAAAGCTGGAAGTGGCGCTGTGGCTCAAGTGGTAGAGCGCTAGCCTTGAGCTGAAGAGCTGAGGGACAGCGCCCAGGCCCAGAGTTCAGGCCCCACGACCGGACCAAAAAAAAAAAAAATGTCATGGAATCTTAAGAGTTAAATATCTATTAGGGAAACAAATGACCCTGCTCCAAATTGCAGAACTTCAGAGACTAGTGGGGTGATATTATTTCTTCTTTTCCCTGGGTGCTCTATCACTTGAGCCACAGCTCTACTTCCCTTCCAACATTGTGCTGGTTAATTGGAGATTAGAGTTTCATGGACTTTTCTGTCCAAGCTGGGTTCGAATTGCAATCCTCTGATCTTAGCCTCTTGAGTAGCTAGGATTACAGGCATGAGCCATTAGTGCCCAGCTTGTTCTTAAGCATTTTCAGTCCATTCTGTCATGCATCTGTTAGTCTATCAGTTTTCGTTAGCTTACATATCCCTAACAAAGGTCACTGCATATTGATTCACTCACTGTTAAGTTGTCACATCCATTAGATGCCTTAGAGATTGATAACCATGAAGCTCAGTTTCCCAAGCTGCCTGCAGCTAGAATGGCCCTTCCCCTCCTTTTGTACCTTTACTGGCTGGCTGATGAAGGTATCTTGGAGTGCCGACAGCATCATTGAAACAGCCCAGCTGGTGGCTTGGTCTTTGCTCAAGTCCAAGCTATAAAGGGCTGTAAAAAAAGCCGAAGCCAAGCTAGTGACACCTAGAAGGAGCCAGCAGATGGATGTCAATAACGCCGGTGGGAAAACGCAGCTGGGCCTCTTCCCTGCTTCTGGGCTCAGCATAGGGAAACTCGTTGTCTCCCTGAAGAAGAAAAGTTGAAGGAATATTGTCACATTCAAACACTGAGAGAGATGGTTTCGAGTTGCTGGGACAGCCTGGCGCGGGGCATTACCTGGCCGCCCCTTTCTCCATGGGTAGGACCCGGGTCTCCAGGAGTTCTTGGAGTTTTTGAAGCTGGCTGGCCGCTTCCCGGAGGTCGCAGGGCTGATGGCCCTGGGTGGTGGCCAGTGTGTCCAGGTGGGCTTCCAGCCTCCGCAGCACTCTGTGCAGGTACCAGTGGAAATGGTACTGGGTTTCCGACGCCACTGAAAATAGATTTCAGGTTGACACATTCACGAGTAGGTTTCAGCAAATCGCATTCGTTCAGGGGAAATCAAGTCCAGAATAATGATGCTAGTGAATGTTTACAATTGTAAAGTGATTTTATTTTATATTTTGTGCCTGTACAGGGCCTCACATTCTCATTTTGCTTTTTCTGCTCGTGGCTGGTGCTCTACCGCTTGAGCCACAGCTCCATGTCTAGCTTTTTGAAGGTTAGAGATAAGACTTTCCTCCCTCTGGCTGGCTTTGAACAATGATCCTCAGATGTCAGCTTCCTGAGTAGCTAGGATTACAGGTGTGAGCCACCAGCCCCTGGCTCAGTTTTCAAGTTCTTAACTTTTGGTGTCAAGACTTGAAATCTCACTGAGCCTCTTCGGCAGAGCTCCAGCATACCCAGTCTAAGGGCTCAAGATGCCTTGGTTATACTCAGAAATCCACAAATCATGTTCCTTTACCATGCTGGAGGAGAAAGTGTGGCATTTCAAGTCTTTAACAAAACACATGGGACGTGAGGATCTGATACAAAGAATGTTTTCCTTTAATGCTGTCCTCTGTCGCACTCGATATGGTCTAGAAGCCATCGAGAGGGCTCAAAGCTACCCACTCCACATTGAAAGCTTAAGGGGATGAAAATGAGCAAAGTTGTGTTGCAATTCTTGCTTATGCGGGTAGGTAAAATGAGGAAGAGTGTACGGCATGCCCGGGAGTGGAGGCAAATGGAAGACTGGTTGCTAACATCTACTGGATTTTACCACTTGGCCCCTGGGGTTCTGCGTGCCGGCAATAGCCCTGCTCCTCTAAGTGAGAATGGATGATCCTGGATAAAAGCATCACCAGCTGGCTCATGTCATGAGGTGTCTGCAGTGGTGGCTCACAGTCGGCAAGCAGGCGCGTGTCTCTTCTGAGCAGAAATCCCACCGTTTCCTTTAATTCCTAGCAAGGACCCGAGATGAGAAAAGTCAGTGCGTCTTATTTAGCCCAGGATGGGGGGCAGTTGCCCATGGGAAGGCTGTTTCTCTTGCCAGGGGGCATGCTTTATGGAAGGAACCTCAGGGTCTCATTTTCTCCCTCATTTTTCAGAAAGTGGTCACGTCTCAGTGGCTTCACACCTGTTTCTAGACAATGAAAAGGAATCATTTGCTCCCACATCAAACACTCTAATAGCTTCAAAGAAGCATGTGCTGCTCCATATGTAGCGATCGCTAGAGCACCGTGTGTGAGTGGCTGCGGAACAGGGAGGAAGTAGTGGAAAGATCTCCCAGAAGCCCTTTCCATGGCTTCTTACTGCTGCATGGGGAAAGGAGCATAGGTTACCTGTGAAACCTGAAGCTTAGCTTACCTCCACGACCTCTGCGGAGGAGCGGGGCTCCCAGGCGGCACCTGGGGGGCAGGCGGCAGGGAGGGGAGGAAGCAGGGGCAGGGCTTCTCGTGGCTGAATCCACAGGAAAAGTTGTCTAATGACCAGATGGGCGGGGAGAAGGATGACAGCAGTTTGGATGCTGATGAGCACCTCCAACCAGGTCACAGCAAATGGCCCCACTGAAAGCAACCATCCTGTCACCTTGTCATCACCACCGTGACCGCCACCACCATCACCATATTACCATCATCACCACCACTACCATCATCACCCTCTCACCCAACCATTGTGATCCCCACAAAGCTCTCTCTCTTGTCTCAGGTTTTAACTTTTAATAGATATTTAACATGTTTTTGGATCAGTCATGGGCTTGAACTCTGAGCCTGGGCGCGGTCCCTGAGCTCTTCAGCTTGTCTGAGTGCTCTACCACTTGAGCCACAGCACCACTTCTGGTTTTCTGGTGATTTTTATTGGAGATAAGAGTCTCATGGACTTTCCTGCCTGGGCTGCTTTGAACCACAATCCTCAGATCTCAGCCTCCTGAGCGGCCAGGATTACAGGCGTGAGCTGCCAGCACCCAGCTAACTGCATTGGTTTTGAATGAATGAGGACAGCGAGAGATTTGTTGAGGTAGAATCAGGTCAGAAGAGTGGGGAGAATGCAGATGCATACCATGATTGATTGATTGTTTTCCTCTCTCATCCATCCATGCATCCATTGATTTTTTTTTTTTTTTTTTGAGACAGACAGCATCTCCCTCCATGGCCTAGGCTGGCCTGGCACTCACTATGTGGCCCAGGCTGACTTTGTGCACTCTTGATCATCCTGCCTGAGCCTCCCCAGGGCCAAGATTACAGACAGCTGCCACCACACTCAGCTACAGTCCTAGTTTTACCTTGAAATGAAGGAGGGGGGGCTATAGTGGAAATGTTACAGACTACAGACAACACCCTACCAGACACAGCCGTACTTGGCTCGACCCTCTTGGCCGTGGGGCCTTCCATCCTCCAGAACATGACGTTAATCAACATGTCGCAGAGGAGCAGCGTCGTGCAGCAGGTGAGCCGCTGGAGTCTTGTAAATTGGTTCCAGGGATGTCGGGTTGCGACGGAGAGCCACAGATGGTCCTCGGTAAACCGTTCCACAATCGTGGAGGAGAACAGGTGTCTAAAAGGAGAAATTAAAACAAGGGGACATGGTGTATTATTCTGAAAACACACGAGACCAAGAGAAGTTTGTTCAGTAACAAACCATGTCTACTCTTCCATCTCTGTTCAACACCTCTGTGGAGAAGCTGTTAGATAATATATTTTTTTTTTCTTTGGTAGTACTGGGCCTGAACTCGGCTCTGTGCTTGCTAGGAAAGCACTTAACTACCCGAGCCATGCTTCTGGTCCTATTACTTAGTTCTTTTAGGATTTTAGGATTGAAAACAGGCATAATTTATATTGTAGAGAGTTTAAAATTAAAAACTTGTTTTAGCTTTTTAAAGTTCTAACATATCTTTTACTCTTCGAAACAGGTAAATTCATACTTGGATCGCCTTCCCTATTCCACCTATTGGGGACTATAAATATATAAATATATGTAACTATAATATATAAAAAGAAACAGAAAGACATGAATGGGCTATGTTCCGGGGAGGGCACGCACACATCGGGCATCATGGAAGACGGACAGGACAGCAGAGAAGCAGGGAGAAAATGCCACAGAGAAAAGCAGCAGGCAGATTTTGCATAATTGAAGAAACAATAGAAAACTTCTACGATAAACAAAAACTAAAGGAATTGATGACCACCAACCGGTGCTATAGAAAATGCTTGGGTGTGATAGCGCACACCTGTAATCCCAGCTACTCCAGAGATGGAAATAAGGAAGATCATAGTTCAAGGCCAACCTGGACAAAAGTGAGATTCCCATATCAACAACACCAGCAAAAAACTGCGATGTGTGCCTGTAATCATGGCTCTGAGGGACCTGTAAGTTAAAGGATCATGATCTAGACTGGTTTAGGCAAAACTACAAGTTCCAAACTGAAAAAATAACTAAAGCGAAAAGGCTGAAGGTATGGCTCAAGTTGTATAGCAAGTGTACAAAGACCTGAGCCCAAACTGCAATACTGAAAGAAAAAGTTGATTCTTACAGAAGATGGATGCAACCATGAAAATATGGAAAAGAATATATTTCACTGAATGAGTAGAGAAGCAAATGAGAAGGATCAGACTCTAGAAAACCATTAAAATGGCTGGAATTACTACACACTGTCACTATATCTCTGAAGGTTAAGAGTGCAAATGATCTAATCAAAGGTCTCAGATTAGATTATAAATGAAGGCCTGATTATCTGGGTCTGCAGTGTGCTGCTAGGAGGTGCTGTGTAGCTCAGCACCCCTTCTGCTGTAACTGAGAGCCACAGGGAGGATTGGAGACACCACTGACACCTAACATGGCTGCTCAGACCTCTAGCACAGGGCCTGGGGCTCACATGACACCCAGGGCTCACCTGTGCCACAACTGCTGGCCAGACAGAAAAGATCTGGCCCAAGGCACACCATAGTTAAAACATTACATATGAGGAAAAAGGAAGAACCTTGAAAGCTGCAAGAGAAGTGTCATGTCACCCGCGATGGTAAGTCCATCAGAATAAACAGATGTCTCACCGGAACTTTACAAGCAAAAAGGAATGGAATACTGTATTTGAAGAGCTGAAAGTAAACAGCTGACTATATAGATTTATCTAACCAGCAAAACTATCATCTGTAACAGAGGGATAAAAACTATGCATGACAAAAATGAAACCAGCACCACAGTGATACTCAAAGGAATCCCACACACCGAAGAGGAAGATCGATGGAACCAGGAAGATACTGGAGAAAACGAATCCCACTGAATGAGCACATCAGAACTCTTCTGCCTGGGCTGGGCTATCCTGCCCATCTTGACCTCTCACATAACTAGGATTGAGCAGGGGCCTTGTGAACTTTTCTGCCAGGGTTGGCTTTTCAAGTTGCTGGGATTATAGACATGAGGCACTGGTGCCCTACTTGTTAGTTTTGCTTTATGGAAACCCAACTACTTGCCACAAAAGAGGAGAAAACAAACAATCGAGGAGAGTTTGCATATAGTTTTTAAAAGAAAAGTCAGGTTCTGAAAGACTTGATTTTCCTCCCTTTTCTCTTTTTTGCCTTTAGGCAATTTTATGTAAGCACATTTGTAGTTACTCATGTTGTTTCCCAGGAGAGAAAAGCAAAGAACTCAGTATCATTGAACCAAAACACTGATCAGAAGAAAAGGTACTAGGTAGCTAGGTATGTTTTCCTAAACACATCAGTATTCACTATGAAGAGTGCTTCTTGGGGCTGGAGGTGCAGCTCAGTAGATGCTGCAAGGCCCTGAGGTCAAACCCCCTACTACTGCCAGGGAGAAAAAGAAAAAGACAGGCACTGATGGCTCAAGCCTATAACCTAGATGTGGAGGACTGAAGTTTAAAGTCATCCAGATGGAAAACAATCAGCAAAAAGCTGAGCTGGAGGTGTAGCTCAAGTGGCAGACTTCCAGCTGGCAAGCAAGCTGAGCCAGCAGGAGGTCTTTGTTCAAATCCCAGCCCTGGGGCAGAAGTGTGAATTTCAACACTACCTAAAGGATAGGAGCTCTGTCCTTGAGGCTGGTGTGAAAACCCGGTCGCACTGGAAGTCTCCAAGGTCTGTGGCCAACCAGCAATTGCACAGGAAGTGCCATTTCTTCTTAGTAGCCACGTCACTGACAATCACCTGGCTGATGTACCTATGGTGAAGATGATCACATCAGGAACGCAGGTATGAACTGCTTGCTGTGTGGTAAGAAGTAATCTAGGGTGTGGGATGTGGTAGTATACAGAGCTAGTGTTCTAGGCAAAATAAATCAAAACAAAACAAAAAAACCCCAAAAGTTAATGAGATCCTATTTAAAAACAAATAAAACCACAGGTATGGTAGGGTATACCTCTAGTCCCACCCATGTGGAAGGCAGTTGGAGGAGGATCATAGATCATAGTCCAAGGCTAGCCTGGACAAGTGCAGGAGCCTAGCAAACCTCAAATCTCAGTGCTGCCAAAATTAACAGCAACAACAATGCTTCCAGTGAGTGTCCAGGTAAGTGGATTGTTCCTTGCTGAGAAGGAGGGGCAGGAGGGCAACCAAGCTTCTCCTGCCCTGGGCGGGAGTGGGGGGGTGAGGGTGGGGAGGGTAGGGGGGGTGGGGGGTGCCAGGATCTTTAAGCTTCCTCTGTCCTGGACGTGGGCCGGCGCGGGCTGGCACTGACCAGGAACACCGCCTTGGGGAGCCGTGGAGCCACAGGCGAAGGGCGTGCAGCTCCCCCAGGGGGGCCCGGGTCCCGAGCAGGAAGACGTCCAGCGCCCCTCGGCCGAAGGCTGTCGTCTGGGGGTCCCAGAGGTGACGGGGCCGGCTGTGTCCCTCCGATCCATACAGGGTGGCGACCACCTCCGCGGGGAGAGCAGATGGGCGTGGGTGGGCGTGGCCCGAGGGGAGCCCCCAGCACAGGGCTCGGTGGGCGTGGCCCGAGGGGAGCCCCCCCCCCCCCCCAGCGTGACCGCTGGGCCGCCGCTGCCCGCGGGGACGGGCGCGCGACGGCGGCGATGGGCGCCTACCTGGGCCGTGCAGGCCGCCCTCGGGCGGAGCCCCGTGCGGACCTCCACCAGGTAGTGGAAGCGGGAGCCGGGCTCGTTGTCGGCCAGGACGGTGACCTTCACCTGCGGGCGGACACGCCGGTGGCCTGGGCGGGCCTCGCGCTGCCAGCGGAGCCGCCAGCGCCCCGACCCAGGGAGCCGGGGGGCCGGCCCGGAACCCGGGGCCTGGAGACCCCCCGGCCTCCCTCAACTCCGGGGTCCCCGCGACAGCGGCAGCCCGGGGCCTGCTCAAGACCCCCAGGCGCAGCCCCGCCCCGCCCCAGGACAGCCGGGCGCCGCGCGCGGGCTTCCTGTTGGGCTGGAATTTCTGAGCCCCGGAGCCTCGCTGGGAGCCGGAGCTCAGGTAGACCCCGCCGGAGCTCAGGTAGACCCCGCCGGAGCTCAGGTAGACCCCGCTCGCGAGCCGGAGCTCAGGTAGACCCCGCTCGGAAGCCGGAGCTCAGGTAGACCCCGCCGGAGCTCAGGTAGACCCCGCCGGAGCTCAGGTAGGCCCCGCTCGGGAGCCGGAGCTCAGGTAGGCCCCGCTCGGGAGCCGGAGCTCAGGTAGGCCCCGCTCGGGAGCCGGAGCTCAGGTAGGCCCCGCTCGGGAGCCGGAGCTCAGGTCGACCCCGCCGGAGCTCAGGTAGGCCCCGCCGGAGCTCAGGTAGGCCCCGCTCGGGAGCCGGAGCTCAGGTAGGCCCCGCTCGGGAGCCGGAGCTCAGGTAGGCCCCGCTCGGGAGCCGGAGCTCAGGTAGGCCCCGCTCGGGAGCCGGAGCTCAGGTCGACCCCGCCGAACGCGCGGGGCCCCCGGGGCTCATCTCCAGCGCTGTTAGACCCTTGTCTTCGGATAGACGGAAGGCTGGGATGGGGACGGTGTCCGGCACCCAGTCTGAGTCCACGTCTCGGACCATAAAAAATGAAAAAAAGGGGGAAAGAAAAGAGAGAAGACATGGAAGAGAAGTCCAAGAACATCCCACGGGAGTTTCGTGTTTTTGCATATGCTGATTGAGCATATGACACATTTTTCAAGTCTGGAAAAATATGAATTAGTGAGAGATCAGCTAAGCCATCTGAAGAGTACCATTCACAAAGTACAATTCATATCTCACACTGGCTATCAACGTAAGTTCTGCATGAACTTCAAAGATTTCAACAGAGGAAAAGAGAACATAAAAGACGTAGAGCAAAAGGTTGACGATCTTTCTCTTAAAGTATCTGAGTAGCATTTTTTTTTTTTTTTTGGTCAGTCATGGGGCTTGATCTCTGGGCCTGGGCGCTGTCCCTCAGCTCTTTAGCTCAAGGCTAGCTCTCTACCACTTGAGCCACAGCGCCACTTCCGGTTTTCTAGTGGTTTATTGGAGGTAAGAGTCTCACGGACTTTCCTGCCTGGGCTGGCTTTGAACCATGACCCTCAGATCTCAGCCTCCAAAGTAGCTAGGATTACAGGTGTGAGCCACTGGAGCCCAGCTCTGAGTAGCATTTTTTAGCGGTTTCTACAATGAAGAAGCCAGGACTGGGAAGGTAGCTTAGTGGTAGAGTGCTTGCCTCACATGCATGAGGCCCTGGGTTGGACACCTCAACACCACATAAACAGAAAAAGCTAGAAGTGGCACTGTGGCTTAAGTGGTAGAGTGCTAGCCTTGAGCTGAAGAGCTCAGGGACAGCGCCCAGGCCCAGAGTTCAAGCCCCACAACCAACCAAAAAGATTCTAAAAATCAGAAAACAAACAAAAAATAAAATGAAGAAGCCATAAAATAAAAAATCAGCTAATCTTGAACTAGAAAAAAGGCCATTTAGAGAGAGTGAGGGAAAGGGTGACATTGTCCAAAAAGAAATGTACTTTTTACCCGACTTATGTAACTGTAAGTTCTCTGTACATTGCCTTTATAACAAAAAAATTTTAACCTACTTTAAATAAAAAGAAAAATGATAAAGTATGAATAGTCACTTAAAATGTCACAAATAAATGACTAGACTTTTCAATAAACACACAAAAAAATGACATCCCAATACAAAATACAGCTATGGGCTACAAATGCACCCTGCATACAGGAAAGAAAATCTAGATGTGTAGGTATATGTATATGTGCACATGTGTGTGTGTGTACATGGCTTGAACTCAGAACCTCATGCCCTTGGGTTTTTTTTGGACACAGCTGATACTCTACCATTTGAGCCATGCCACTAGCCCAACATTTTTCTGATTAATTGGAAAAGAGGTCTCTTGGACTTTTCTGCCTGGACTGGCTTTGAATCTCAATCCTTACATCTCAGTGTTCCTGAGTAGCAAGGATTGTAGGAATGAGACTGGTACCTGACTCCAAGTGGCTAAACAACAAAAACAAAAAGGCCAGCCTCACTCATAGTAAGAAAAACTCCAGGCTGGAAAGGTGGCTTAGTGGTAGAGTGTTTGCCTCGCATACATGGAGCCCTGTATTTGATTCCTCAGTACCACATACACAGAAAAAGCCAGAGGTGGTACTGTGGCTCAAGTGGTAGAGTGCTAGCCTTGAACAAAAAGAAGTTCAGGGACAGTGCCTGGCCCGAGGACTGGCAGGAAAAAAAAACAAAAACAAAAAGAAAAACTCCAAGTTATAAAAAGATGTATGTGTGTGTGTGTGCGCGCTGGTCCTGGGGGTTGAACTCAAGAGCCTGGGCGCTGTTCCTAGGCTTCTTTGCTCGAGGCTAGCACTCTACCACTTGAACCACAGCTATTCTTCTGGCTTTTTTGGTAGTTAGCTGGAGATAAGAGTCTTTTCTGCCTGGACACAATCCTCAGATCTCAGCCTCCTGAGTGAGAAAGATCACAGCTATGAGGCATCCATGCCCAGCTATGAGGTCTGATATTTAAAACTACTTATGTTAGGAAAAATAACCCAAATTCTCTGCTAACACCTATCATCTTGCCAGCTTCATCTGTGTGGAATTGATAGCCCCATGTTAACTGCTTCTTTGGGTGAACACGAGCCTTTGCCTAGCTTGGCACACACAGGCCTGGGGTCCAGGAGCCCTCACCTTCTGCATATCCTGCTGGTCCTTCCTCCAAGCCCACACTGCTAAGAACATGTAGAGCCCTAAAAGGCTGGCCAGCAACGACACCCCCACAGGGTTGTTTGACACGTGACGGAACAGTGTGACTGTGTCTTCAACCTTCACTGTCCTGGGCACAATGAAGAAGTCGCTGCCGAAGAAGGTCAGGTGGTCACAGAGACACTGCGTCTTCACAACTGTGCTCCGGGGCCCCACCTGCAATCACACGGGAGCACCACTGTGGGTGGATGGGATGAGGGATGAGCGGAAGAGGGAGGGGCACAAAACGGAAGCAAAGGAAGGGAGGTGGCAAAGCCCGGCTTGGTACCCAGGCCCTGCAGGAGCAACACTTTGAACCCTGCCTGTCCTGTTCTACATGTCTTCTAGAGGAACTTTGCACGTGTGCACAAAATATGTGCACAAGAGTGTTTCTATCAGCATTGTTTGTGAGCAGAAAAATGGGGAAAATGGTAGCTTGTAATCCTAGCTGCTCAGGAGACTGAGCTTTGAGGATCACAGTTTGAAGCCAGCCCAGGAAGAAATGAGAGAGGGAGAAGCCAAGTGAAAGTGCAAGGCTCCAAGTTGAAACCCTGCTACTGATGTGCTCCGCACGCGTGCGCACGCGCACACACACACACACACCAAAAAAAGGGGAAACAATCTCTCTATATAGGTACATACATAGGAGACAAATAGAATATTATGCAACGGTCAAGATCTATCTCAGAAACTTAGATAGGGTTGAGCCTCCTGCCTCAGCCTTCTGATTAGCTGGGATTACACGCACACGTCACCATACCCAGCTCTTCAAATACAGATTTCTGTATATGAATTGTCATTTGATTTTATGTGTTTTTTTTTTTCCTTTTGTCATTTGTGAGGCTTTAACTCGGGGCCTGAGTGCTGTTCCTGAGCTTTTCCACTGAAGGCTACACTCTACCACTTTGAGCCACAGCTCTACTTCCAACTTTTGGTGGTTAATTGGACATAAGAGTCTCATGGATTTTTCTGTCCTAGCTGGCTTTGAACCATGATTCTCAGATCTCAGCCTAGGATTAGAGGCATAAGCCAGCAGTGCCTGGCTTCTCAGATCTCAGCCTAGGAGTAGAGGCATAAGCCAGCAGTGCCTGGCTTTGAATTGTTATATTTACCCAGGTCTATACTGAGAAAGAAATGACGAAACAGACACAAGTCTGCTCCTTCTCCAGAGACACATTCTCCCTCTGGCCACATAACCAACCTCCTTTCTCCCAGGCTGATCCCTGCTCCTCCTGGGCTGTCTCCAAGGAGCGACTAAGCAGCCACATGCAACAGCAGCTTATGTAGAAGGGATGTGTCCTCCTTACTTGACATCCACTGCTTTTCCAAGTCCTGTTGTTCTTGTCCCAGAAATAACACTGGGTGACCGCAGTTACCACCGAGACCAAGATGGGTGTCTGCCAGGCAGTCTCTGTCTCATTCAATATGGCGGTTATGTAGTAGGTGCCGGTCCTGTACTGCAGGCTCTCAGGAGTCAGCACCCACGTGTAGTCCTCATCTGAGGACAAGCAGGGATGCTTGGGTATGTTACAAGTGAGACAAAAATATCCCTAGAACCTTTCTTCCCAAGACAGGGCCTCACACCTAGAATTCTAGCTGTCAGGAGGCTGAGATCTGAAGATTGGATCTAAGCCAGCCCGGTCAGGTAAGTCCATTCTGATTCTGATTTTCCTCAACAATTAAAAATGCAAATGAGTAGTTCTTAAAGCCTTTCAACACTACATTTAAAAATTATATCACTCTGTGTGTGTGTGTGTGTGTGTGTGATATTAGGGTTTAGACTCAAGGCCTGGTGCTTGCTAGGCAAGCACTCCACAACCAGAGCAATCCTGCAGTCCTTCACGTTTTGGTTATTCTTCAGGTATTATTATTGCCTAGTGTCAGCCAGGCCCCAGGTACATGGTGACGCAATCCATGCCACCTGCAAAACTGGGATTAAAGGCACACACCTACATTCTGGGGGCTCAGAACAGCGTTTGTGTGTGTTCTTATTCTGGAGCTTGAATTTAGGGTCTCCTGATATTATGTGGCTTTTTTCACTCCAGGCTAGTGTTCTACCACTTGAACCATACCTTCACTTCTGGCTTTTTGGTGGTTAATTGGAGATCAGAGTTTTCCAGACTTTTCTGCTCTGGCTGGCTTTGAACCAACATCTTCAGAACTCAGCTTCCTGTCTAACTAGGATTACAGGCATCAGCTGCAGTGCCTGGCTCTGCATGTTACATTACACAGAACTTGCTTTATCTCATCTACAACCTTCCTTTCACACCGCAGTCCATCAATTTTCTTTTTTTTTGTGGGGGGGTCCAGTTGTGGGGCCCAAACTCTGGGCCTGGGCGCGCTGTCCCTCAGCTCTTCAGCTCAAGGCTAGTGCTCTACCACTTAAGCCACAGCGCCACTTCTGGCTTTTTTTCTTTTTGCTTATGTGGTGCTGAGGAATCGAACCCAGGGCCTCATGCATGCAAGGCAAGCACTCTACCATTGAGCCACCTTCCCAGCCCCAGTCCATCAATTTTCAAAAATGCCTGGGTTGGCCTGTTCATGTGAACTTACACATGTGGTAAAAGTTACTTTAGAAGTCAGTTCATACAAGAACAAATGTTTGTAAGACCCGTGAAAAGTGATCAAAGTCTGAGCCTTAAATCCAGGTCATTTCCTGGTTGTGATTTTTGTACCGTGGCTGGACAAACTGTTCACATTTGAGGAAATTGGGTAACAAGTACATCTATTAACATTGCATGCAAATCTACAATTATCTCCAAATAAAAGAAAGGAAGGAAAAGAAAAATGTTTTTCAAAGTAAGTTTTGGGACTGTGATCGGGTTTACCTTTCTGCCCTGTGGTGCTCTTGGGCAGGGTGGTGGTCAGGAGGAAGCAGGTGTGGTTGGGCGGGTATTGGAAGCCAAGGTAGAGAGTGAGGAAGAGAGGACTTGCAGGCTCAATGGCCACCAGCAAGGATCTCTCCACAGAGGTGATGTTCACACTGGCTGTGAAGCGGGCTGTGCTGGCGTTGAGGCTGCTGGCATGGGTGTCTATGTTGGCATTCCTCCAGAGCACAATCTAGAAAAGACACTGTTAACCCTGCAGGTGGGGATCTCAGGAGCTCCCTGCTCTCCAGGCCTTCCTCTTTGAGTATTAATTAGTAGGGAACACATTGTTGGGAGTTATGGGAGAACCAAAAAACACATCTTCTAAAACCCCTCTTCCTAAGGGTGAGGTATTTCTCTTTGTAAAAGTTTCTGCTAGGCGCTGGTAGCTCATGCCTGTAATCCGAACTACCCAAGAGGCTGAGATCTGAGGATTGTGCTTAGATGCCAACCCAGGCAGGAAAGGCGGTAAGACTTCAATTTACCACCAAAAAAGCCAGAAGTGGAGTTGTGGCTTAGGTGGTAGAGCACTACCCTGGAACACAAAAGTTCAGAGACAGAGCCCAGGCTGATTCAAGCCCTAGGACTGGCACTCGCGTGTGCGCACACACACATGTACACAAATGTTTCTGTGATATTGAACAAAATGTTGGAATTTCCACAGGTTCCATCCTGTTCTCCAGGCTGTTCCATTCCCTCTTGTTTCCTGCTCAAGAAATTCCTACCTCCACGTCTTCCATCAGGTCGTGGACTTGGAGCTGTTCCTGGCCAGAACTTAACAACACGCTTCCAACGCTTCCTGTGATGTTCCTGCCATCAAATGTCTGGAAGGGATTGAAAGCCAATCCTGTAACCTGCAGACAGAGGCAAGCCCTGTTTTCTCAGTTGCCAAAATATTGATAAATGACCTGCTGAAAGATGAGGACAGGATTCAGATATAAATTAATGAGGTAGTTTCCTTACTAATATCTGAAATGAAATAATGCTCTGCCTTTGGAACATTTGTGAAAAACAATAAAAGATGAGTCTTCTACATGGGACCACCAGAAACAATTTGTAAAAAGATCTAGAGCGTTGGGCTTCGGTGGCATGCCTGTAATGCTAGCTACTCAAGAGGCTGAGATCTGAGGCTGAGCTCTGAGGATCAAGGTTCAAAGTCATCATGGGCAGTAATGTCCATGAGACTTTTTTTTTTTTAAGTTGGTTATGGAGCTTTAACTTAGGCCCTGGGCACTGTCCCTGAGCTTTTCTGCTCAAGGGTAGCACTGTACTATTTTGAGCCATAGCTCCACTTCTGTTTGTTTGTTGCTTAATTGGAGAGAAGAGTTTCATGGGGCTTTCCTGCCTGGGCTGACTTATAAACTGTGATCCTCAGATCTCAGCTTCCTGAGGAGCTAGGATTACAGGAATGAGCCACTAGTTCCTCACCCATGAGACTCTTATCTCCACTAAACTCCCCCCACCCCCCCAAAAAAAAAGCCAGGAGTGGAGTTGTGGCTCAAGTGGTAGAGTGCTAGCCTTGAGCAAATGAAGCTCTGGGACAGCACCCAGGCCCTGAGTGCAAGATCCAGGACCAGCACAATAAATAAAGATCTAGAAGTTTCTGTATTATTATGAAGCATTCTCTTCAGGATAAAGCAACAGCAGTATTTGTGGTAGGTAAGTGCTACAAAGCAATACAATGTACTAGTACAACTAGGTTGTTACACTGAGACACCTGAAGTATTCAGATATTCACAACGTCCTATAAAGAACTGAGATTGCTTCATATCACGGCATGGAAACGTAGCTGGATTCAGATGTCTGTTTGGTTTTAACACTAGATCCTCATTTTTAAACTTTATTTTTGTTTTTGAGGTTCAGAAGGTTGAATCCAGAGCCCCACGTTTACTAGACAGTGCCCTACCACATGTCCATAGTCTTATTATTCAAAGTTTTTCTTTTCTTTTTTGTCCATTGTGGAGCCTGAATTCTGGGCCTGGGTGCTGTCCCTCAGCTCTTTAGCTCAAGGCTAGCGCTCTATCACTTGAGCCACAGCACTAGTTCCAGCTTTTTCTGCTTATGTGGTGCTGAGGAATCGAACCCAGAGGCTCATGCATGCAAGGCAAACACTCTACCACTGAGCAACCTTCCCAGCCCCTCAAAGTTTGTTTTTAAGACAAGGTCTTATAACTGCTTAGGTTGGCCATCACTCATGATCCTGTCTCTGCCACCTGAGTAGCTGGGATTACAGGTAAGCACAACCACACCCAATTTATACTGGATCTTTTTTTTTTTTTTTGCCAGTCCTCGGGCTTGAACTTGGGGCCTGGGCGCTGTCCCTGAGCTTCTTTTTGTCAAGGCTAGCACTCTACCACTTGAGCCACAGTGCTACTTCCAGCTTATTCTGATTATGTGGTACTGAGGAATCAAACCCAGGGCTTCATGCACGCTAGGCAAGCACTCTACCACTGAGCCACCTTCCCAGCCCTTCTTTTGGTTTCTAAGATTCTTGCTATGAAGTGCAAAGTGGCCTGAAACTCCTGATCCTCTTGCCAAAGCCTGAGTGCTGGGATTACAGGCATGAACCACCATGCCTGGTGTTTATGCTGGGTCTTTTAAAGAGGGTTCTGTCTGACAGTGTGAAATGGAAATTAGAAGCACACACTCTTCGCTCCGGCGGTGTGGTCTGCCCGCTCACATTTCCCCCTGTGCCCCACCCAGCAGTCAGACCCTGTCTTCACTCACCTGCACCCTCACTCTTCGGTACTTATTCAAGAATGCCTCCAAGGCTGAAGATGATGGCAAACCTAAGCTCACGGGCGCTGGACCGCCCAGTGTGTAAGAGCTCAGCGGCAACGTCGATATGTTCTGACTAATGAAAAAGAAAAAGAAAAAGTCAATTTTTTTTTGTGGGTCATGGGGCCTGAACTCTGGGCCTGGGCGCTGTCCCTCAGCTCTTCAGCTCAAGGCTAGCGCTCTACCACTTGAGCCACAGTGCCACTTCTGGTTTTCTAAGTGGTTTATTGGAGATAAGTGTCTCATGGACTTTCCTGCCCAGGCTGGTTTTGAACCTCGATCCTCAGATCTCAGCCTCCTGAGTGGCTAGGATTACAGGCATGAGCCGCTGGTCCCTAGCTGAAAAATCAATTTTATATGTCAAAAAGGTAAAAAAATGGGATTGGAGGCATGGCTCAGTTGGTAGACCACCAGCCAATGAACAAAGCATCGGGAACCAAGCTCGAGACCTAATTTCAACAGATTAAAAAAAAAAAAAGAACGAAAAAGTAAAAACAAAACAAAACAAAAAACCCCAAACACCCCACATCGTCACTGGTCCCCTCCGCGCACCTGCTCAGCAGCACAGACGCGGCGGTCGAGGTGAGCGTCACCGAGGACTGGCAGCCTGGGTTCTGCCGCAGGAACGCATCCTGGATTATGCCCAGGGCCAGCAAGGCCGTCTCCAGCATGTCTTCCACCTGCGCAGAGGGGGAGGCAGGAGGTCTGGGCTTGTGCTGGGGAGGGAAGGGGGAGTGGGAGCAGGGACATTCACTGCATATAAGGAAGGCCAATTGCTGGAGCGGGCCTCGGCCCTCACAGCAAGCTCTCAGCTGCTGGGAGACCCAGCCTCCTCTGCGTCTGCCAAGAGCTGCTGCCAAGGAAAGCCAGGGTCTAAGTTGCCTTGGACCTGCTCATGAATAGGCCAGGCGCTAGAATCTTACCTCCTATAAATTACTCAGAAAAAGTCGGAAGTGGAGCTGTGGCTCAAGTGGTAGAGCACTAGCCTTGAGCACAAAGAGGCTCAAGGACAGTGCCCAAGCCCTGAGATCAAGCCCCAAGACTGGCCAAAAACAAATACTTAAATCATCATTGCTGGTCCTTGTAGCTCACACTTAGAATCCTAGCTACTCAGGAGGTGGAGACCTGAGGATCACAATTCAAAGCCAGCCTGAGCAGGAAAGTCCTTGAGACTCTTATCTCCAATTAATCACCAGAAAATGGGAGGTAGAGCTGTGGCTCAAAGAGCTAGAATGCTAGCCTCAGTAGGAGCCACACGGCTGATAATTGATTCATAAAAAGTAAAGCATTATTACAACAAAATTCCCATACAATTCATCTCTCTGTCTCTCTCATTCAGTAGTTTTAGAATATGTCACAGGGCTACCTATCACCACAATCTAGTGTTTGAATTCACCTCCTAAAATACCCCTGGGTAACCGCTAGTAGCTGTCTCTCTCCCTCCAGACCCATTTCTAGGGAACCCATGGTCTACAGAGCACTGTGTCTGTACTCTGCACAGGGCACAGTCTCTAGATTGAAGCCGTTTTCTCTTTGTCCTGCCTTGTTTCTGCTTTGCTCCAGAAATCTGGAGCAAAGTCTTGCATTTCATACAGATGAATCACAATTTCTTTTGTGGCCATCTGGCTAGCTTCACTTGCCAGGCTGCTTTCAAGCATGTTCACCCGTGCTCTAGCTTGTATGATCAATTCACTCTTTTTTTTTGTGGCTAAATAGTATTCTATTGTATGAATATAGCACAGTTTGTTTATCCATTGCCCTGGTCATGGGCAGCTGAGCTGCTTCTACTTTTGGCTCTTTCACTATTTGCAGAATGTGCTATGAGCCTGGGTGTATACTTATGTGTTGGGCGACAGGAAAGTTTAAAGGTCATCTTGACCCCTGTGCTCACTTGAAGGCACGTACAAGGAACTGGCTTACTAAAAAAACACCAGGTGCCTGGGATTGCTTTACTATATCTACAGAGTTTTACTTTTTACCAGTTGTCTTGTTTTTACTGCACTCTGTTTTTACTGAAATTTTCCTTGTTTTTCTGCACTATTGTAACCTTATGTTACCTCTTGACTTCTAATAGTATACATTAGGGAAAGTTAAAAATAAATGGGGCTGCAGTCTTGAGCTGCAGACCTCCCGACCCCATCCTTTGTCTTATGTCTTTATTTTTCCGCATCCTCGCCCCCAATTCAGGATTCGCTTTCGTTGCTGGCAGGCTCCGGCACTTCTGGATATGGACATGTGCTTCCAATTCTTGCATGTTTGTGCCCAGGAGCAGCGTTGGTAGACTACATGGTGGTTATAGTTTTAACCTTTTTCTTTTTTGTCGGTCATGAGGCTTGAACTCTGAGCCTGAGTGCTGTCCCTCAGCTCTTCAGCTCAAGGCTAGTGCTCTAACACTTGAGCCACAGCGCCACTTCCGGCTTTTTCTGCTTATGTGGTGCCAGGGCCTCATGCATGCAAGGCAAGCACTCTACGACTGAGCCACCTTTCCAGCCCTAGTTTTAATCTTTTGAAGAACTGCCGAATTGTTTTTCCAAAGTGGCCACGTTTTACAATCCTCTAATATACGGTGACAATTTCTCTGTAGCTCATCAATACTTGTCCATCGTTTGGGGCATGAAATAGTATTTTTCTCTTTACTTTTTCTTGTTCTTTTTGAGATAAGGTCTTATATACATATAAATATATATTATTTTCCTTATAATATCAATGATGAACATCTCTTTTTCTCTCTGTGCATGTGTGGGTAAGGTAGGATCTCACTATGTACTTAGGACTTAGCATAGGACTTCCTATATAGCTCAAGGATAGCTTGGAACTTGATGTAAGAATCTTCCTACCCTTGTCTCCTAAGTACTTGGATTAAAGGTGTGTACCACAATGCCAAGACATGATGAACATCTTTTATGTGGATGGCAAATATAATTTATTATGTGCCAGTGCTTTACTAAGTGTTTTTTCCGTTATTACTGACTGGGCACTCAGTAGTGTGTGCCCATGAGTAGGGTAGAGAGGGAGACCAGAGATAACTTGGCAAAGTCATTTCTTTCGAGTCAGTCCTTGGGTGTGAGCTCCAGCTGTATTTCCTGGATAGGCTGGAGCAGAGGCCAGGTAATAACTAACTCTGTTTGTGAATGCCTATACGTACCATCCAAACGTGGTTGGTGTTCTGCTTGGGTGTCTGCAGCTTTTCCATTTCACCATTCATCACGCTGAGGGGTGGAAAGTGGCAGAGAGTTGCAGGGGTTTCGGAACCCCGAGTGCCTCTGTTCTGAGAGGGGATCCGCAGGATCTGCTCAGTCAGGTCAATGAGCAGGTTGACCACAGGGACCTGGATGTCAGAGAAGAGACATTCGTGCCGGACTACTGTCAACTGGCTTAAACATGTTTGTGCTCTTTTTATAAGCAGTCTGGTATTGCTCACACAGTTCAAACGCATTTTTATAAAAGGCAGTATTATCATTTGGCAGGTAAGGAAATTACAGGGTTCCATATTATCTGTGTGGGGAATATGGTACCATCAATAGTATTTTCTGGGATGCTAGCAAGCCAATGTGTCTGGGTGGTAAGCAGTCCACTGGACGTCTAACAGGCAAAACTAAGGTAGAGGAAGGCATCAGTGAAAGCAGTGGAGCTCACGTGCTGAGGACATGCTTTCTTGTATCATGGCCTTGGCAATAACTCTAAGATGGCACCTACTCATTGCTTTACTCAGTCTTCATCCTTGCAAACCCTTAATTTCTGTCTCCAGCAAATGGTTCGATGATGCTAAATTCTGCACAGGGTGTAACTCCACATTCTGATTTCCATTTTCCCCTTTGTCCTGCCGTGTCCCCGCCCAGTCGTCCGTCCTCTGCTCACCTGGGCTGGCGACTGAAAGCTTGGAGCTAGGTCTCGCAGGTTCTGGAGGGTCTCACAGGCTTTCTTTAGCTCTCTCTGAGTCTGGCTCAGGTGCTTTGCTGGCTCACTGCTAACCTATTGGAAAGAAAGAATTTTGTTAAAACTGACAATGACTTCCTGTTCGTGGTTGGATACGTCATCTTCACTAGAGTTGAGGGGGTGGGGTGAGCTGCAGGCTCCGCTTTCCTGGCTCACACTTCTTAGACCATTAATCCCCTATTCAATGGGCTCAGGGTGGGGGCGGGGCCAGCAGAGTGTGAACTTGGACTTGAAGATCACCAATTGTCTCCAAAGAAGTTCTGCACATTTTTGGTTAGATTTAATTCCTAGGCACTTGCTATAAGAGCTAATGTGTATGCACACACATGCACATGTGCACACACGCGTGCAAGCACACACATGCACACACATATTTGAGACAAGAACTCAATCTTCCTGCTTCAGCCTTCTGAGTGCTAGAATTACAGGCGTGTGCCCCTATACTCATACCTGGGTGGTATCTCTTTTTGCATCTGATTTTCTTAACTCATTGTTGCTAGCAGTAAAAATGTACTTTACCCTAGTACATGGATCTGGCCTTGAGTGACAAGACATTCTAGATTTATAGATACCTTTGGATATGCAAACCCACTTCATGTATAAATCACTAGATAAAAACTTCTTTTTGGAAGTAGGAAATAAGAGTACTTTCTTCAGTCGCTTTGCTTTTTCCCCCTGGGTTTGCTGGGGAGGGACGAGGTGAGACCTGACGGTGGGTGCTGACAAGATGGACAGGTGGGCAGAACACTGTGTCCTTCAAGGACTGCATTCCAACAACTAAGAATAAGCTGTACAGCCCAGAAACAGATTCGTCTTGTTCTGGGTTCTGCTGAGACTGCAGGAATCTGTCCTGCACTGGTGTGGGAAGGTGGACAGGCCTTTTCTCACTATAACTCTTGAACATCACCACCACAGGAAGGAAGGCTGCAAGTGGTTCTCCAGGGTCTGTATGCACAAGCACTGTGATTTGAACTCAGGACCTTGGGCTCTTGCTTGGCTATTTTGCTCAAGGCTGGCACTCTATCACTTGAGCCACATCTCTGCTTCTGGTTTTTGTTTTTCTATGTAATAGAAGATAAAACTCTCATAGATTTGTTGGTCTAAGCTGGATTTGAACCAAGATTCTCAGATCTCAGTCTCCTCAGTGACTAGGATTACAGGTGTGAGCCACAGCACCTGACTAGAAGCTACACAGTTGGGCCACAGTGTTGCATATGTACCTGACTGGATGTGTTGTGAGGTGACCCCTGTGGGGGAGCCGTGCTGACACCCTGCTGGGAGTTCCCTCCTGGGCTTGTAGCCATGTCTGCCTGAGGGGCTGTGGCAGGTGTCGTGGCGGCCGGCCTGGGGAGCTCTGTCTCTGTAGACCATGGCGGGCTGCTGGGTGCAGACATGGTAGATGGTGCCTTCGGTGTGGTTTTTAGAACCACAGCAGGAAACGGGTTGCCCGGATGACATAAGGTCTTGGACTAAAAGATAAGAACGTATGAAAGAAAAGTCTGATGCTGATTTTTACCAACTCATGAGTCATTAAGGCAGATTCCCACACTTTCCTCAGCTCTCAGGCCCTAGGAGTTTTGCTTTGTCTCACTACAAAGCCCAGCCTCAAATCAAGATCCTTCTGGATGCTGGATTGCAGGAGTGCCACACTACTCTCAGCTCCTAGGAGACATCGACAGGCACTTCTGTCTAAAATGCCCTGTGGCTGGGCACCAGAGGCTCACGCCTGTAATCCTAGCAATTCAGGAGGCAGAGATCTGAGGATCATGGTTCCGAGCTAGCCCAGCCAGGAAAGTCCATGAGACTCCTATCCCCCATTAGCCACCAAATAAATGGCAGTGAAGCAAAGGGCTCAAGGGCAGTGCTCAGGCCTGGGAGTTCAAGCCCCAGGACCAGCAAAAACAACAAACAAACAAAAAAAAACCAACCCAGAAAGCCATGTAGTATAAAGGCCACAGTGTACATTGTGGACATCAAATATACTGTCAACCCCTCAATAACTGTTCAACATCTACCACGTGCAAGGCTATGTTACGGAGAACCAGAGGTAGAGCAGTGAAGGAGTGAGCCGGGCCGTGTGCCCGCGGCCTCCACTGGAGAGAGACACAGACTGACGAGCGCGTGACGGGCAAAGTGCTGGGACAGAGATTGCGTGTGTGGGCGTGTGTGGATGGGAGACTGCATGTGTGGGCGTGTGTGGGCATGTGCACAGTGCTGCAGCAGGCAGCGCTGGGAGGGCTGAGGAGCTGTGGAGAGCATGCTCGCTGTCTCTGCAGCCATCTGCGGCAGGCCAAGGGCTGTATGAGAGAGGCTTTGTCTGTTTGCTACCTTTGTTTTCTTTTCACTTAGATTCTTTTCTGTCCTTATTTGTGTATGCCAGTCCTGGGGCTTGAACTCAGGGCCTGGGTGCTGTCTTTGAGCTTTTTTACCCAAGGCTGATGCTCTACCAAACAGAGTTTCCAGTTTTCTGGTGGTTAATCGGAGATAAGAGTCTCATGGACTTTCCTGCCTGGGCTGGCTTTAAACCACAATACTCAGATCTCAGCCTCCTGAGTAGCTAGGATTATGGTTTGAGCCCCTGGTACCCAGCCTATTTATTTCTTTTGGTCGGTCATGGGGCCTGAACTCTGGGCCTGAGCTCTTCAGCTCAAGGCTAGCACTCTACCACTTGAGCCACAGTGCCACTTCCGGCTTTTTCTATTTATGTGGTGCTGAGGAATCGAACCCAAGGCCTCATGCATGCAAGGCAAGCACTCTACCACTAAGCCACCTTCCCAGCGCCCCCTCTCACCCCCACCTTATTTTTGTATATATATATATATATATTTTTGGGGTCCAGTTGTGGGGCCTGAACTCTGGGCCTGGGCACTGTCCCTCAGCTCTTCAGCTTAAGGCTAGCGCTCTACCACTTGAGCCATAGCGCCACTTCCGGCTTTTTTCTTTTTGATTATGTGGTGCTGAGGAATCGAACCCAGGGCCTCAGCCATGCAAGGCAAGCACTCTACCACTGAGCCACCTTCCCAGCCCTTGTATATATTTTTGAAAGAGGTCACAAGTCCTCTTTGGGATGTCTTAGAATAAAGACAATTTATGTCAACATGAAAGCCTAAATACAGACTTTACAAGTTTCTTCAATAAAACATTAAGCCCAATTATTTCCTCATTTAGGTACTTTCCTTATTAGAAAACACCTTTCAAGCCAGGTACCAGAGACTCATGCCTGTAATCCAGATCTCAGGAGGCTGAGATCTGGAGGATCTCAGTTCTATACCAGCCCCCAAAGAAAAATCCTTGAGAGTCCATCTCCAATTAACCAGCAGAAAGCAGGGCTAGAGGTATGGCTCAAGAAGTGGTTGAACACCAACCATGAGCAAAAATGCTGAGCTAGAACATGAGGCCCCAAGTTCAAGTCCTGGTACCAGCACAGAAAAAAAGAAGAAAAAGAAAACTTTATGCAGAGCACTTTATGAGACAGAGTTGAATGCTGTCGGGATCTACCAGGCATGAAGAAGAGATGAATATTCCACCTATGACTTGTGTAGGAGGGTGTACATACAAGATTAGCAGAAGCAGGCTGGTGACATGAGATGGAGAGATGATCTCCTAGAGAAAGAAGAAAGTAGGTTAAACTTTTTATGAATAAATTGAGATCATTCAGAAGATAATCACTTACAAAATTTTACCAGATTGTCAATACTGCTTTATTGCTCATTTCATATTTTCCATTAAGAAAATCATGACCAGAAAGTGCTCTGTTCTGGCAGGCCTGTTAGGAGTGTTGGTGGAAGTAAATTAGTGCAACTGGGATGCAGTGTGGAGGCTCCTCAAAGAACTAAGTGTAGAACATCTTTAGGATCCAGCTATGCTACTTTTAGGCATCTGCCTGAAAGACTGCAAGTTAAGATACAATAAAGCCATCTACACACCCATGATCATTCCTGCACCATTTACCACCCAAGTTACGGAATCAGCCCAGATGTAACTTATTTTCTCACGACACATTTATAATAACATTATATGAAGCACGGCTTTTGTGAAATGGACACAGCTGAGCTCAGACTTTCAAATATATCTCCAACATCATTGCTTCAGTTATAATCAGAACTGATAGCCCTTGATTCTGGAGCCTGTGTCTATGGATTTAACCAACTTAAGACTGGGGCTGGGGGCTGGGAAGGTGGCTCAGCGGTAGAGTGCTTGCCTTGCATGCATGAGGCCCTGGGTTCGATTCCTCAGCACCACATAAGCAAAAAGAAAAAAGCCGGAAGTGGTGCTGTGGTAGAGTGCTAGCCTTGAGCTGAAGAGCTGAGGGACAGTGCCAAGGCCCAGAGTTCAGGCCCCATGACCGGACCAAAAAAAAAAAGACTGGGGATGGGCTGGGTGCGGGGGGAGATTGGGTTTGTACTGAATGGGTGCATCCTGCTTTTCTTATCATTATTCTGTAGCAATGATTTAGACTGCATTGATATTTATTATTATGTAATCTCAACATTTATGTTTCTTATTAAGCAACTTAACCTACACTTGAAAGATCTGTTGGGAATTGTACACAATTGCTAAGATATTTTATCTAAGGGACTTGTTGGGCATCTGCAGATTTGGGCCTCTTTAAGGGGTCTTGGAAACAACCTCCTACCACACAAAGGGATAAAGATATTTATGTTTTCCAAAATCCATCTTACTTCCATCTAATGCTGCCACTAAACATTTGTAGCCAAATTGCAAGGCCCCTTTCCCCCACTTACAAAGCATTGAGAACAGGTGTTTTTCACATTTGCTCTTTAGATATAAGTTCATGTGTCAACAACGGCACTTCCTAGCTTGCTTTGCCAGCACTCTAGCTCGACCTTGCTTGCCCAGGCTGGCACTCTAACCACAAGCCATGACTCTAGTCTAGCTTTTTTGCTCATTAATTGGAGATGAAATCTCCTGGACTTAGTTACCTGGGCTGGCCTCAAATAGCAATTCTCAGATCTTAGCCTCCAGAGTATCTAGGATGACAGGTGTGAGCTACTAGCAACCTGGCTCTTTGTAAGAGCTATTTCAAAAGCTTGCTGGTAGCTGGACACCAGTGTCTGTAATCCTAGCTACTCAGGAGGCTGAGATCTGAGGATCTTGGTTCAAAGCCAGCCTGGCCAGGAAAGTCCCTGAGACTTATCTCCAATTAAACACCAGAAAACCAGAAGTAGCACTGTGGCTCAAGTGGGAGAGCATTTGCCTTGAGCTGAAGAGCTCAGGGACAGTGCCCAGGCCCAGAGTACAAGCTCCATGACCAAAAAAATAAAATAAAAGCTTGTGGACATCTACTCATGGTTTGATGTCACTTCTGTCCCTAGAAAAATTCCCCACATCCACTATGAAACGGTCTTCTTTTACCCCTTCCAGGGATCTGTGAAACCCCACACTAATTTCTATCAGCCCAACACTGCTGTTCATGGATTTCAGGCTAATATATCTTTCTGAGTAGTTCTTGTTCTTCAAAAGAAAAAAAAAAACGTGAAGCTGGGTGCTGGTGGTGCATGCCTAGCTACTTAGGAGACTGAGATTTGAGGATTCTCAGTTCAAAGCCAGTCCAGACAAGACAGTCCATGGGACAGTGCCCAGGCCCCGAGTTCAGGCCCCAGCCCTGGCATGTGCGCACATGTGGACATGCATGTGGACACAAGTGTGTGCACATGTACATACACACACAAAAGGGCGGGGAAAAAAGAACACCAGAATTTGAAAGACTTGCAAGGGCTTCAGTTCATGCAGATTTTTCTCTTTGGTACTGGAAAATGATGTGGGGTGTAAAACCCCTTGCCTTTCCTTGGGGCAAAGAAGACAGCCAAAGATATGATAATAAGAATTAGCTGGGCATGATAGTGCACACCTATACTCCCAGAACCTGGAAGGTTGAGGCAGTATACAAAGTTTCAGGTCAGGGCTGGGAAGGTGGCTCAGCGGTAGAGCGCTTGCCTTCCATGCCTGAGTCCCTGGGTTCAATTCATCAGCACCACATAAGCAAAAAGAAAAAAGCCGGAAGTGGCGCTGTGGCTCAAGTGGTAGAGCGCTCGCCTTGAGCTGAAGAGCTGAGGGACAGCGCCCAGGCCCAGAGTTCAGGCCCCACAACTGGACCCAGAAAACAACAACAACAACAACAAAGTTTCAGGTCAGTCTGCAACTTTTAGACAGGAGAGAGGGGGGAGAGAGAAGAAAGAGGAGAGAGAGGACAGGAAGAAAGATGAGAGAGAGAGAGGAGAGAGACTAGAAAAGGAAGGAGAGAGGAGGAGAAAGAGAAGTAAATGAAGGCCGGAGTGCAGTA